CTCCTTCTCTTTGCCTTAACATTTGGTTATTAAATGGGCAATGATGATTGCTATTATAACTAACACTATTAGAACAATAAATAATTATTCTTATTATAACATTTTTAATTTATTAAATTCATATTCACCATTCCAGAGCATCTAAACTTTTCTCAAATTCCCTGGATCCCTCATAAAATTGAGCATACCATTATCTCCATCTCAAAAGCAATGGATCAGCATCACCCTTTAAATTATAAGCGACCTTATCTGTAAAGATCTTATTATTCCACAAACTGACATCTGCAATCACTTGTCTCAATTCTCCTCCTAAAATGTAAGCACTAACCCAATAAGGTAGTGAGCTTGTTGTATATAAAGTATGAAAGACTTTCAAATTGAATCTTTCAACTGGTTGAATAGCCTATTTATATAAGGCCTCAAAAACATCAGATAATACATACAAAGCCACTGTTGCTGGTCCCATCTAAAATCCAGTTGCCCAAATCACATTAAATTTCCATTTATTAAAGAAAACCAAATATGCATCCAAACATAAAACATTCATATATTATCGTAAATCTTTATTTGATAAATACTGATCGAATAGATTCTTTTAATATTTACGAACCTTCTCTTTGCTGTGTTCCATCTTCTTATAGAAATCTGGGTCATTTGCAGGCAGACTTTTCATTGTCCACTTAAAACTGACTATCCATGTTGGAATATAGTCATTAACTGATGAGTGAATATAATCAAAATGTCTAGCATCAGCACCATTTTCAGGAATTTCTTAAATGTGACAATTTACATAATTCACACTCTCCCCCCTTAATTAAAGATGATCACTTTATTCCGACACTGGTTCATACCAAGGTTTTGCTTCCAAGCAATGAAGCCAAATGTACACCATCCCTCTTAATTCTCTAATGAGATAAGTTTTTATTTTGATTTCTCCTTCTTATACTTTTTGTAAGTATTCCCCTTTTTTATTGGGATCCATATTTTGAATATTATTGTAACAATATGTAGATACAATTTTAGGATCTAATTTTTCAGAATTGACACATAATCCAGATTTGCCATCGAATGCCCATCCATGGAATGGACATTCAATACAGGAATTGAATTTAACTTATCCTCCAATTCCAAGATTAGCTCCCATATGTGGACAATAAGCAGCAACAGCATAAACTACCTTATCTGTTCCTCTATAATAAGCTATGTGTCGACCAGCAAATTTGATTTCTTCCACTTATCTATGATAAATGTGATGACTCCTTACCCAATCTTCAATTCTGCACTCCTACAAAGTCGATACCATCCATTTGGATATGATGGTGGAGGTGTTCCTCTGGCTAATTTATGTCTGATGACATTTGGTTGTGCCTTTTCAGATATGAGATAAAATCTGAATTTTCTATAATACAAGGTATATATAATAATGAGAAATATAGGGACTATGATCTCCAATCTTGCCCAATCCATTTTAAATAAAAATATTATTAACAATTAAGATTTGATTAAATAAATTTATTCTTAATTTATAGGTATATAGCTTAATTAATTGCCAAAATTAATAGGGAATTCTAAAATTAATACAAATCCGAAGCAGTTAATAAGTATTAGTAATCAAAATTATAATAATTTTAACTTATTTGATATAAGAAAAACATTGTTGACACTTTGAAATTCTAGCATTTTAAGCAAAATTATAAATTAAAACTCATAAACTCTAAGATCGATTATTCTGCATTATTTAAAATTTATTCTATCTAAAAATAGTTAATCCTTCTTTTCCTCAAATCCTAAGGAGATTTATTTAAAATAATTAAATAATTTAAAACCATTAACCCATAATAGATCATTCAATAATTTAGGAATATCATTATCCCAGTTTGAATTTATTTTCAGACATAAATTGTACTAGTTAGGTTATGCATTTCGAATTGAATATTGTTTAGAAATCAGCGAAATAAAGCTAAAATATTTTAAATAATAATTCATTATTTTTGAATTCTTATATCTCTGATATTAATCATAAATTAAAGGCATTTCAATACTTTAAATGATATTTATAATTATTAGATAGTTAAAATAATTGATAATTATTTATTCTGATATATATTTGTAAATGTAATATAATATATTTATTCTACTATTGATTATATAATAATTTCACAGTATTTAATATCCTTCTGTTGGATATAAATATTTGCCTCCTGAGTTGTAATCATAATATAGAATTTCATTTGCTTGAATATCTTTACAAGCATACATAATAATTCTAGCTTATTTGTTAATGGCTACTCTCAAACACTTTACATTAACTATTTCCACTTGCTTAAATTAATTCAGATTGATATACTTCTTTAATTTTATTGTCAATGCCACAAACAAATCTAGCTATGTTAGAATACTTTTCTGGAACTACATAAAGTGTTTTCTTAGGATTTGGATGAGACAGTAATTCCTTGAATAAAACGAAAACTTACCATGATACTATCATTTTAATCAAAAATGATGTTTTTCCATTTTTTTACTTCTCCACAATATTCTGCTAAAATTGAACCCTTCTTAATGAATCCAGTAGCTTTAGCAATAAATCCAGTTTTAATATGAAAGTCAACCATCAATTAAGGAGTAATACCTAATCTACTAAATTCTTTGAATTATAGAAAGGACTTCAAATTTTCTTCGTCTAGATCCTCCAATTTGCGTTCGTATTTGGCATTATTATCTTCTGGTTTAGAATCTTCTGGAAAATAGGTCAGATCATCTGAGAAGTAAATAGATTTAGCACATAAGGCTTTAATTAATGAATAAGATTCTTAGAGTTGTTTTTCTTTTGAATCAGAATATTTTGGTAGATACAATCTGACTCGATTCTATTTTTTCACTTTATCAATTATAATTAAATCATCTTAACATGTATATTCTGATTTCCATAATTGAATGTATTTTGGAATAGTATCATATTAGTAAGGTAGATTGTCTTTTAAGTATTAATCACATACAGAACAGAATTCAGTTTGACTATTATAACATTGTACATGTTATCGGAGATTACATCTATAACAAATCTTACTTTGATTTTCATCGCAAAGGGTATAACAGACACTACAAATAGTATTGGCAGATTTGCATTCATGTACAATCAAAGTATCTCCTTCGACCTGTGTTATATATTGTAATTTGAGTAGCATATTTTATAATTGAACTTAGCATTTGGAACATAACTATTTACTCTCTTCGTCCACACATTTTAGATGAAAAAGGTCTTGGCATCCATTACACCTTCGATGTGGAGAAGTATCTCTATGATTCATACACACTTTGCATCTGAAGCTGAATACTTATTAATTCAATGATCTTTTGTTTTTCTTATGGATAAGTTTTTTAAATTATTTGTAAGTAAGTTCACAATGTCGAAAGATGTTAGCATATTGATCGAGAGTACAAATAATTTTTTTAGGCATATTTAATTAATCCCATGATTAATTCAATAATATTATGTTTTCTAGTATTTGAGTAGTATATGTGAGTCGATTTAAAATCATGAGACCACCTAATTGTACATTGTATAAATGTATAAGAGTGGAATAAAATATTATTATTAAAATAAACTATAATGCAAGAGTTAGGTAAGTAACAAAAGATGGTTATTGGAATGGTTGGACTACCAGCCAGAGGGAAGACATACATTTCAAGGAAGATTTGTAGATATTTGAATTGGATGGGTTTCAAGAGCAAAGTATTTAATATAGGAAATTACAGAAGACAGATATGTGGAACAGATTGCAACTCGAATTTCTTTGATCCTGGTAACAAAGATGTAACAAACTATATTAAATCAAGGCATCTAAAGCAAGAGATGAGTGTGCCTTATTGGCTTTGAATGATATGATAAATTATCTTAGGAATGAAGGAGATGTTAGTTTGTATGATGGGACGAATACAACAAAGTAAAGAAGAAAATTGATCATGGAGACATTGCAATAAAAGTTTAGTGAAGTTCAAGTATTTTGGGTCGAATCAATATGCAATGATGAAGATGTCATTCTGAGAAATATTTAGTTGACCAAATTGAACAATCCTGATTATGTTGGGAAGTCATCTGATGAAGCTACTTAAGATTTTCAATAGAGAATTGAATAATATGCTAAGGTATATGAACCAATAGACATGGATGAGAACATTTCATTTATAAAGATCATTGATATTGGAAATGATGTAAAGCAAAATATAATTAATTTAGATTATGATATATAATATATAAGGATTCTTATAATCCAAATTAGTCTCATATTTGATGAATTTGCACATTTATCCTCGACCAATATATTTGTCCAGACATGGAGAGAGTTAATATAATGTTGGTCATAAAGTAGGGGGTGATTCCGATTTAACTTAAACAGGATTGATGTATGCAAAATAACTGGGCAAATATTTTGTTTAAGAATTAGAAGGCAATAGAAATATCAAGATGTTTACTTCAACTATGTAGAGAGCATTGCGCACAAGTAATGAAGTTTGTGAATTGTTGGGAGTCGAATATTATTCATTAAAGGCTTTGGATGAAATAAATCCAGGAATATGCGATGGATTGACCTATTAATAGATTGCTGATAAATTCCCTTAGGATTATGAGGAACGCAAAATGAACAAACTAACTTACAGATATCCAAGAGGAGAATCTTATCTTGATGTAATCAGCAGAGTAGAATAAATAATTTTTGAAATAGAAAGATCAAGGTTACCTGTAATAGTCATTGCTCATCAAGCAATATTGAGATGTTTGTATGCATACTTTCATGAACATGAGGTACCTGAGATACCTAAATTAAACATTCCATTACATCAGGTTATTAAATTAGTACCTGCTGCGTATTATTGCAAAGAAACAAGAATTAAAATTGATCCAATGACTGGACATTGGGAAATTCAAGACGAAGCTACAATAAAGAAGGTTAAATCATTCCTTGATTTGTGAAATGGTAATAATAAAATAATAATGTTTTTCACTCTTTCAATATCCACTTTTTCTTATCTTAACTAATAATTACATTAGGTTATTATTGAATATGCTTCACAATCTATTTTTTACATTATATACACTTACCTTCTGCCAGAGAATATTAGTTAATTGTTTTTCATAAAATTTTTTCAATTATTTAAGCTAATCATCTATGATGAGATATTTCTGTTATTCAAGATTATTCAGTAATGATTGCGAGACAATGTTCACAAACACATTCATTTATTCCTCATCCTAAACATTCCCTGATTTCATTATTTTATATCCTATCACTAAACCCGCAGTCAATCCTAAAATAACTAACCCTAATATTATTATATTTAAATAGTTTCCAGATGAGGTCTACGTTTATTAGCTATTTGTTTTGCCTCCATCTAAATCTTTATTTGGGTATATCATTTCACTTTTTGTAGCTCGATGCACTACTTCTGTTTGATTATCGATTATTTCTGACTTAGAACAAGACATAGAATAAGCTTTTGGCTTTGGGGAGTAACTCTTTTCTTCAGACATAGTAATACTTATTTTTATAGAAATTAATTAAATTAAAACTCTACAATTTGCGCTCCTAATTTATTGTTTCACAATTTGTAATTTTTCTATAAAATAAGAGCGCACAATTTCTAATTATAATTCATACAACACAAATTATTATCCAATAATATGTGATTTATAAACTGTTTATTTAATTTAATACATGTATCTTGTAAAAATCCATTATATTATTCATTTAACTAATCTGTAATAATAAATTATGGCTCATTAAGATCTATACAAAAGTCAAGGAGATGAAATATTCCAACATCTTGAGCGAAATGCTAATATCTACCTTTAAACTTAGAACTAGCATATCTAATGTTAAAATTATTTGGATAATCTAACACCTAAATTAATTACTCCAAACATTCCAGAGATTTCAAGTCTAAAGGAAATTAAGTTAGTCAACTCCCTTGCTTAAACTGGGGATGGATAAATTTACTCAGTTAAATTGATATGTCAGAATTGCAAAAAATAAGTAATTATATTGCTTTATCTTCTTTAAAGATTCAGACTAAACTTCAAAGAAGAGTTGGAAAAGGCACATACACAGTTTCATGTCTCTTACTTCTATGTTCCTTTGGAATTTTGTGTCTAGCCTGTCTACCTTGCTATATGGATGATTGCAAGGATATCGTCCATATTTGTCCAGATTGCCATCATCCAAATGGATCAACACCATACTAATTTTTCGAATGACATATATTTATTTATTATTATATGTCAACTTCATATTTTAATTTGAAATGGAGGCAGTCCATCAATTAACTTATGGAGGCCTTGCAAATTGAAATGGATCCATTAATAGAGAACCAGGTCAAACAAAATCTAAAGTTAGTGAGGCCTGATTAGGAGTGGTTTGTATACTATGGGAAGTTATACTTATTTTATGTTGATGCATATAAATCACTTGAAACTTGTTATGATTAATTGTTACACCCTTAAAAAAGGCGGTTATTAAAGAAGATGCTTGAAAATACCATGTTAAGATAAATTCAAATCAAGCAGGTACATTCATGATTTTAAATTATATAGGCCATGATTTTCTATTCAACTTAAGGTAATGTCATAAGATCAGATTTTGTAAATTTGCATTAGGTAATTTTTGATGAAAAGAGACTTATAGAAGATGCTGAGGTTTCTTTACCTCATTATTTTTCAGATGAGTAAAACAGAAAACTGGCGTATCGAAAACAAATGCTTAATCATTTTTTAAATGAATTTCATGATACTACTTAACCAGAAGAAGAAGTGTTAGTAGACAAGGCTGTTTTGGAAAATATTGAATAAGCTATATGGTTTATCTAAAAAAACGAAAGAGGAAGATAAGGTATTGAGAGAGTGCTATTGGCAAAACAATTGAAAAAACAAGAAATAAAGAAGCAAGAGAAACAAAAGAAATTGCAAGAAGGATTGGAAGTGCATGATTCCACTGAGAGAGAAGAAGCCATAACAGTGATATAAAAATATTATAGAGGATTTAAAGCTAGAGAGATAGTTTGGGATTTAAGAGAGTAGGAATCTTTATTTCTGGGATTTACATTGGAAAAACCGTTACAAGAAACAGACGCTTATAAAACATATCATTTGTAGAGAGAGAAGATGAAAGAGAAACAATAGGAAAGATTATAAGAGTATAAAACAGCCTTAGTTGAAGCAAGAGATAATTTGATGAATGATTGGTAGGATGATATCTAAAATTAAATGTTGGCTGAAAGAAGAAGGTGGTACATGAGTGAAGTCTAGAAAGCAGAAGGTAAATTAGTGCCACCAAAAGTTGCTTAATTTTATAAAAAAGATTAAGTGAGATTGCCATTGACTGAAGAAGAATAAGAAATGATGGATTTGTTGGATAAGGAAAAGAAAGCAGCTAAAAAGAATAAGGGAAAAAAGAAGAAGAAGAAGAAGCAAGAAGATGAAGATATTAGAGTAGAATAAGGGCCTACAGAAGCTATTGTAAAGATGCAAGATTTAATTGAAAAACATAATCATGAATGGAGAAATGATTAATTAAACCCTTATTAGAAGCATGAAAATTCCTTATTGAAGGGAGAAATTGCTAAAGGAGTTGAAAAATAAATAAGAGAAGTAGTCGATGAAATGATTGATATGGAGTTAATCAATTTAAGAATTGCATTGAAGGCAAAGAAAATGAAATATCCAAAAAAAAAGAAATCTAAGAAAAAGAAAGCAAAACCAGCTGAAAAAGCAGAAGAAGATGATCTATTAGAAGAAGGAGAAATCAATTTTGGTTTTAGAAGTGTTGCAAAGAAGAAGAAAAAGAAATTCCCTGGGGATAAGGGAACTGCAAAGAAAGATCCTAGAGATATGTTGGCTGAATTGATTGAATCAGGTATAGCTAAGAAATTAGAACCAGCAAAAATATCAGATCTCATTGGAAATTGTAATCCATTAAGATAAAAATAAGAAATGTTACAAGAATAAGTAGCTGATCCTTCCATTTATGATTTACGGTAGGTTTTAGTTCAATTTGTTGGAATGCCATTAGGATCTCCATATATTAAAGATAATGTCAAAGAAAGTAATTATGTCTTATTCTATGGGCCTCATGGTTCAGGCAAAACACATGCAGTCAGAGCATTATAAACTGAATGTGATGCTTTGATTCTAGATTTGTCACCTGCTAATATAGAGAATAAATACTAGGATAAACCTGATTACTTATTATCATTAGCATTTAAAACTGCTGCTTGTTTCTAGCCTGCTATTATATATATTGATGAAATTGAACGTATTTTCAAAGGTAAGAAAAAGAAGAAGAAGGGTGATTAATAGCCATCATCTGCAGGAGGCATGAATTGGGTTAAATTGAGAAAATACTTATTGAAATATGGAAAGTATTTCACTGAAAAGTAGAAAGAAAACGTTACTATCATTGGTTGTAGTTATGCTCCTTGGAATGCTAATAAAAAACAATTGAAATCCTTTTTCAAAAGAAGAGTCTATTTCCCTTGTCCAAACTATGCTACTAGAATAATGATATTCTAGAGGTTTTTTGAGGAAAGAAAGATTTAGCTACATCCAAATTTCCCCTTGAGTTCTTTGGCTCATGCTACAGAAGGATTTACTGCAGGAAATGTATTATATTGAATTAAAATTTTAGATTAAAGAAGCACTCAGAAAGATATTGACAGAGAGAAGATTAATTTTATCTGCTGAAATTCCATATCGAATAAGCGAATTCGTTGATCCGTTAGCAGTTCAATAATCTACATTCTTATAACAATATTAAGAATTTCGTAAATTACATGATGATCTCTCTGGAAATAAGGCAAGAATTGATAAACTCAAGAAACCAGCTGAAGATGAAAAAGGAAAGAAGAAGCCTGGCAAAAAAAAGAAATGACTAATATTATCATTATTCAAATACATAATTTAAATAATTTTACTCAAATCAAAGTTTGATTAATTATTTATTATTAAAGTTTATTCTAAAAGTATGTAACAAACTCATTAATTACTTGATTCGATTGAGAGAAAAGTACAGAATTGTGTCATACGAGACTAACAATATGAAAAATTACTATTTAGTGGAAGACCTTCACATATTGAAAATACGGTTGACAAATAATAAAAATAATTGGGAGATTCAAAAATTACATTACTTGATCATCATTACTAGAAGAAGTTTGAAAAGATGGGCCAAAGATTAGAAAATTTAGAAAAAGAGAAAGAAGTTAAAGTCTAAATATCTAGAGAACAATAAACAAGTGATTTTGAATAGGAAGAGGCACGCAGCGTAAAATTAATAATAAACTAGATTAGATAGTGAATTTGAATAGAACCATCAAATTATACTCATAACAAATTTCATCGTTATAAGAGCAAATGAAAAGAATGTAAATGAACTATTAGAAATAAATCTAAGATCTACAAATACAACTCAGAAAATATTAACTTTGATTTAATTTCTTATCTTAAAAATCCAATACTAAATTTAATTTAATTTCTATAAATTAATCATTATACTTATATTAACATTTAACATAATTTTTACAATGATTCTCCTTTTATTATAATGAAATGTATCCTATAGTTATAAAACCTCTTTTATATTATTACCATAAGTGATGTTTTATATCCAAATCTTTTGTGTTTAACATTTATTTAAATGACTATAAATTTTGTAGGCGTATTTAGAAAACTGAATAAGATGAGTGACATAATTGATTATATATATCTAGATCAAATTACATTTTTAAGAAATCATTTTCTCTAATTTCTCTGTTAAAATTGATTTCTTGATTCATAACTAACTTTCTAAGTAATCTACTCTTCTTAATAATTCATTAATCGTATCCTCCTATTTTTTCAATTTTTTTATCACTATATCTAAACAATCATGGCTATCTTTAACTTTGTAAGTTACTAGACATTTCTCACAATTTCGAGTTCTGTGTTAGCAGGATGCTTTATGAAGCTCAATTCTTATCAAACTATCTTAAAATAAACAATCTGGATATGGGCATCTAGTTTCTACATATTCACATTATTTCATATGAGATTCTAAGTTTTATAGCTACATTTATTTAGGGCATCCTGTATTTACACATTTTACTTATAATTCATACATTTAAGTTCTTAATAATCGATGAGGAGCATTCAATTTCATTTTATTAGGGCATCTAATTGGACACCTTTCTATTTATTAATAGAATGAATTTTTACTTGTTTGCTTTAAAGTATTATTTATGCATTCTGAACAAAAATAATTTTAGCATTAACTGCATTCCTTTGGATCCCAAACTAATGATTAACAAATTGCACAAATTAAGTTTTTATCGATGCTGCTAGGATTAACAATTATTTCTCTTAGTTTTGATGAAGAAAGGAATGAGAAATTCATTAATTGATTTTATAAATGGATTTCTATAATTGGTATAATTTCTACATAAATTATTCGAATAATAGAATTTAAATACGAATTGTGATAAAATTAAGATAATCCCATTTATTCTAAATAATTTAGTACCTATAAATTTAAATAATAATAAGTAATACTTTTTAGACTTAAATCACATCAAAAGTCTTCGATTGTAATTTGAACATGAGGCCTAATTGAAATCATCAAATTTTAAGTTTTTAAGTATTATATGGTTGTAAACAATATTGATAATTTGAACTTTATTTTCAAGTCTTAATTATGAATATTTCAATTAAGATCTTATAAGATATCAAAATGATAAAAAAGTTTTCATTTTGTATTAATGATGATTCAAAATTTATAATATTAAAAATGCCTCCGAAGAATAAGAAAGAAGAGGAAGCAGCTAGATTGGCAGAGGAAGAGAGGAAGAGACAATTAGAAGAATAATTAAGGTAGGAGGAGGAGAGAAAATACGGATGTGGTCGATACAGGACAAAGTAATAGTTACAGAATATGTGAAGTATGGGATTGCCAATTAGTCAATATATAATAAATGAAGTATTTCACTTAGAGGATGCGAGCATTTTGATAAAGGAATATTTGTGCAAGGTAGAATAATTAATGGAGAATTTAGATTTTGGAGAGGAATCATTGTGAAAAGTTGAGAGACATTGATATTGAGATTGCGGGGGAATAGTTGATTAATGATTTTAGTGCTTGTTAAGATTTCGGATTTAATGGAGACCAAGCATTAATATTCATTAATATGATGTTTTTAGTTTACATCAATCAACATGAGAAGTTTGGGAAGTTGGTGGAAGGAGGATTGACAAGAGGGAAATCGTTGTAGGGAGACAGAAAACTATTTTAATAATTGCTATCTCAACATAGTACTGATGGCTAGGGATGTCATAAGGTATTTGTGGCTAAGTAATTGTAACCAATTATCGATTACATTGAGAAGGGTAGATAAGATGTATATAATATTAGGTTATCTATCTCATTGGTTGTTATTACATCAAGCACACTCTCATAATCAAAGACCGTTAGAAATCTAGGTTGATTTACAAATTGAGTTGCCCTTGCCACAACCTTCTCTAGAAGATCACACATATTATAAGCCTATTGTGACTGATGACACTTAATCTTTTAAGAAGACTGAGATGGAAGAGTAGGAAGTGGAATATCATGAGCCCACAGATGAGGAGTTACTGGATTCTGTGATTATGAATGCCATTCAGGATAAATTGAGTTTGGCATAATAAGAATTGGAAACGAGATTGAAGGATAGATAAGTTGAGATTGAGTCTAAACTCCAAGAAATGGCAGCAGCTTTGACTAAGAAGAAAAAATGAATATAAAAATATTAAAATCTTTTAATTATGATTAAATATTTATAGAGATCTCTCTTTAGAATTAGTGAGGAGTATGAATACCTCAAATGTAAGGATATTTTCAAGACATAACTTGAACAATTTAAGAAGGCTCTAAATAAAGGTATGACCAATCCATCAATATTTATTAGCAATCTAATTACAAAAGTAAATTGATCAAAATACTCAAGCTGCCTACAAAATGTAAAGTCATGCTTTCTTCACATCTAACATACCTACTAAAACTATTCTGGCTGCATTCCTGTAAAAAAGAGAATACTCAAATGAAGAAATTGTTGGATAAACATTTGTTCAATTAGGACATGCTTTAAAAGGAAGAGGAGATAGATCCTACTTTGATCACAAATAAATTGAATCCTCCATGGGTTTTGATGTCCTAATCAAAGACCTATTAAATTTGAATGATTATAGAGTTTTGGCTGAAGCAATTCATGGATTGGCTCTCACAGGAGTCGATTTACATAGCGAATAGATTGTCGATAAGGCATTTTAATAATTAGATGCCAAAGAGTTAAACTCTGAAGAAAAATAATTAATTGAAGCATTTATATTAGATATCTTTGAAGAAAAGTAAGAAGCGCCTCTTAACAATTTCATTTATGAGGTTGAGAAGATGATTGAAGAAACATAATCTGATATATTCTATGTTTTGGAAGCAATCGTAGAAATCAGAAGAGTTTATTTATAATTACTTGATATCTAAAAATCTGATTGGGTGCACGTTAATACTAATATTAAAATGATGGAATTTGAAGAGGCCTTGGTATCCTCAGGTTTGTTGCATCCTGCTGAAATTGAAAAGGAAGATATAACATTATCATTAGAAACAGCAATTTCATATATTTCAGGTAAAGACCCAGATCTAATGGCATTTATCATTAACCTACTAGAAATACAATTAATTCATAGAGATCAAAAAAAACCTATTGAACCAAAGTTATCAGATTTCGGAGATTTGATGGTAGCAGTGTCTGAATACTAGGGACATTAAATTGCATAGAAATTAAAGAACGCCTAATCTCTATTGGTTCATTCGGATAAGTATAAATTAGCAAAGGCATTTGCAAATGCTGGACTTAATGTTGAAAGCAGAGAGTATTTAGCTTAAGTTACTGACGAAGAACTTCTTAATTCAGTAGATTCATTACATCTTCATTTATAATTAAATAAAACAGATAGACAATTTCCATTACCTGAGAATTTATCAATCCTCTCTTTAGATGAATTAATTGCTTATGCTACATACTTGGCATTGTAAAATCAAAATTATGGACTATTCATTGAAGAACTCAAGTTTAGAGTTAAGAATTTGAATACAATTAGAGATTTGAATGAAAAATAACAAGAAAGAATTGCTGCATTAGAAAAACACTCTGGACAGAAGTTGATTTACGAAGAGAAGGACATTAATCATACTGAAGTATACAAGGCCATTAAAGAGACTTTACCTAAGTCAGTGTAATTGATTGAGATTTATGATGTGAGTGTCAACAATGAAATAAATGGATATGCTAAATTAAGAGTTGGTTCATAGCCATATATGACATTATATGATTTTTTAGGTAAGGATAAAGAACAATTCAAGTAGAAATTGCAGTTGGCATTTAATCTAGAAAATTCTGATATCATCTTGTTTAATAAAATCAAGGACAGATTGGAAAGTGTCCAAATAGAAGAAAATAGTAAGGAATTGAGTCAATAAACAATCTTTAATGCTTAATGGTAATATTTGAAGAAAAGAGCATTGAACTATTTAAATAAGAATGATAACTTAAATAAGTTGAAGTTAAAATAAACTTTACTTGATTTACAAGAGAGATTGAAAGTATTGAATTAGAATAATGTATTCTAAGATTTGATAGATGAAATTAAGGTTCAACCAATCAAGTTTCCAAAATGGTATGGAATGATCCCATCTTAATCAATTTATAATCCTTAATCATCAATTGAAGGATTTAAAGCTAGTTTGATTAGTAATAGAATTTATGATCCCACTTATTGTCCAGATTAAGACTTATTTAAGAGATTGGAAGATAATGGTTTTATTTCAGATGTGATTCCAATTCCACATTCTGATAAACGTAGATAATAGATAGTTGTTCAATCTTATTCACTTGCTTGGAAGAAACATTCAGCTAAAAAGTCAGATGAGGAATTAGAAAAACTTAATCAATTGTATCGTTTCTTAAAGAAAGATTAGAAGGAATACAATACAGATGCAAGTGATTTGTTTATTGCAAATCTATTGAATTTGAATGCTGAATTGAAATCTAAGAATTTACCTGAAATTGCTGATTTTGTATTTAATATCAAGTTTTGGGATAAATTGATTGAAGAGAGATTGTCATCTAATAAATCAACTAAGCCTGCTGGTATCTATTTGTAAAGAGATCCAGAAGTTATACTACATGAATAAATCAAATAATATAATCCATTTTTGACAACACAATATCTAAAGAAAAAGTTGTAAGTCAATAAAACATTGGAAGATCTCATTAAAATGAGAAAGGAATTATTAATGAAATTGTAAGAAGATGTCAAGAATAAAGAAATTAACAAATAATAAGCTAGAAGTGTTGTTGGAAAAATTAACAGAATTCTTTATGATAAAATTTAAGAAATTAAGGGTGAATTAAGAAGAAAACATTCCTCCCCCTATTACAAATAGAAAACTAATTATATCGACATTCTATTTAATGAAAGTGATATTGAGAAACTGGATATCTAGTAAACACCTGATAGATATCTTGATGTAGACTTACTGTATGGTATCGATTAATTTGTTACAAGAAAGAGATCAAGAGCAGAAGAAAAATTGATTACCTATTATTTGATGAATAAATAAATGGAAGGCAAATAATTAAATTAAAAGGAATTATAATTCTTAGATTCTTTGAGTCTTTACTAACCAAATGTTTAGGTGACTCAATTGAGAATAAAGGACATGTAGTTTGATGGTCTTATTCATTCAGATTTCAAACAATTTGGAGAATTTAGTGCAAGTGATCTCTTATTATAATTGAGTCAATTATTTGATGATCAGTTATTTTTGGATATTTTGAGTCATAAGTATTACAAAAAATAAGGAATTTAACATCAATTTAGAAGAAGAGACAATTAATTGTATTTGTAATAACAGGAGAAGTTAGTTTGGATTGAAGAGTCCAGGTTGAATGATGTAGAATTAAAAGATCTCAAAGAAATGTTACAAATAGGCTAAGTGTCAGATCAACATGTTGATTTAATGAATCAAACTGATTATCCTTTGCAGAATGTGTATAGTTGGATACATGCAAAATCAGCTGAAAAATTTGATTTATCACTTTTGGACTAGCATAATTAGGAATTATGGAATAATATATTCAAATGTCAATATGAAAATACAACCGAATAACAATTACATGATGCAGTCAACCTATTAGTCGAAAGATATTATATCTTACAATTCCATCCTGTTACATATCTGAGATAGCTCTTGAGAATGATCTTGACTCATCCAAATTTATCTGCACTTGATAAAAAGGTAACTATCTTCAATACGTATATTATAGAATCTGTAGTGCTTGAAGAAGACAGTTGGTTTCAATTCTGAAGATATATTGGCTATTTCCAAAGCTGAACCAGCTGCTACTGTCCCATCCTATTTAAGTGAAATGTGCTACCCCTATGGTGAGAAATTAAGTATAATTTGATGTACAAGGATTTATATATATATAATAATTATTCATATATTTGTTATTATTCATTCCGTCTAGTGCTATCAAACCGGATTCAATAGAATAATAGCTTTGCTTCAGATGGAAACAGACTTTGTTTGTCTATTTGGAATATATCCTTGTATATCGAAGAATATTATTACTATAATCGTAGATCAATTAGTACAACAAGAAAATGATAGTCATTTAAAATCTTATTTTGTAATTACAAATAATTTTGAATTCATACATATAAATAATAATTTATTTCGAACAAATCTAAGGTACTTCATTTTTTAATATAATGGGAATTAGGAATATTTAAATATGATATCTTTTTATTAAGTAATTTTAATTTAAATGATTGAATAAATTGTAAAGTTGTGTTTGTAGAATTTACTAGATTATTCAGATGAAAGAAGAGAAATGATCTTAGAACTTGAGTGTTCTGCTAAGTTGTAGCGATCGAGAGACTGTTAAGGTGAAACCAGAAGATGCTCTTTTTATATTAAAAATTTACTTGATGTTAGCAGTGACAGGATATAGGAGTTAAAGACTTTGTTAATGAATGCATTGTAGTATTCGTTCTAATGGATATCAGATTAGCAATATGCCAATTTGGCTTAGGATATTTTATAGTTATTTGATAAACACAACATTGATTTTGAGATGTCAGATATAAACAATTTTGTGTAATATCCAAAAATATGTTCATTATTAATACTGATAGCTGCAAGACATAGGAGATATATAGATTGTTCCTTCTTACTTACGAAATTAAATGAAATGGATCATATTGATTTAAGGTTGGTGATAAATTCTATGTTATATATGGAATTAAAGGAGGAATAAATAGTGAGATAGATGATGCAGATTTGTTTGGAGAATGATTATTTCAAGGAGATACAGATTCTACTGTTGAATCCACATCCTCATAAATAGATATTTGAATTGGCCTTCAAAATATTCTCATAAAGCAACCATCAATGTTGGATGCAGTCAATAGTTTACATGTAAACAAACTATTAGTGTGATAGAGAGAGGATTAAGAAGTAGATCACATAATTTGATTAATTGAATTAAGGATTAATTTAATTAATAAATTCAATCATTGATTAATAGTTAGGAAATCAATTGGTTAAGATATTGGATAAATTGGAGGTAAATGAATACTATTTTGATTTGTTGACAATTTTGTTATTGAATGATATACAGGATGGGATTGATTATAGACAATAATTAAAGAAAATCCCTGATGATTATTTTGATAAGGAAAATGATTACACTTAGGATTCATTGTTTTTATTCGTAGAAACATTGTTGGCTTTGAATATAGTGGATTAGAAATAGAGTTTGGATAGTAAATTGGAACATCATATAGAGAATTGGGCATTTAAAAATGATTCATGTAAGAGAATTTGTGATAATTTTTCATGATTTTTCATGTAATCTTATTTTTATTTTCATCAATATCCATAAAGTTGAGTCTCAAAGGTACATTATTGAATGTCTCTCCTGTTATTATATGGTTTCAATTTTCTATCATAACAATCTTTCCAACTAATGTTAACTCACCAAGGATGTTTTCGAATTTCTTCTGCATCTAAATTAGCTCCTAATCTCTTATTCGAATCTCTATTTAGAAGCTTCAATATAAACAGTAATCAACAGCTACAATAAATGATTTTGCCTCAGTAGATACCCTTCTAGATATTTTTAATGGTCCTCTTCTGATATTGTCATGGCAACCAATAATTCGTATGTCATTACTCCTTATCCAAACCAATCTGCCATTCTGCTGTGTTCTTATTTAGATAATATCTTTTGGTAGCAAGTATGAAGGGGACCAAAAATATATTATTTAATTCTTCCTCTGAGACTCCCTTTTTGGATAACCAAAATCTCTTAATAGAGTGTGACTTTCTGAATCTAATACAACATTTTCTAGTTTTAAGTCTCTGAATATGTTTCAATTCAATTCTTTAAACCTAAATTCATTTGATGCCTCCCCTATCAAATTGATGAAATAATATTAAATGCACACATCAATGTAATTAATTAAACTATAACTTTATGGTATATATTCAAAATAAAATTACAATAATAAATATATAGACCTCACTTAAACATTAAACTCATTCATCTTTCATCAAAGCTCCTCTTGCTGCTTTGGCTATGATTTAAACTAAGTTATTGAAAAATTTATCCAATGTAATTTATGTCACTACTTCTACCTTATTAGGCAATGAAGTTTCAAAGAAATTAACATATCCCTTGCAATTACTATTCTCTTCTATTTCCACTCCGTATTTCTCAATTTTTAATTAATCCCTATTAGAAAGGAGATAGACTCCCAATACTAAAACATATGATTTGATGAATTACACTTATGCAAAGAGAAGGTACTTTACTCTATCATGCCAAGAGCCCAATTGCTTAATTTCTTATCAAATGATCTTAAAGCATCTAGATATTTTTGTGGAATCTCTTATTCTGCTTTAGGGATGAATGTGATTTGTATGTTGTTGGCTTAAAGGATTTCCAGGAAGATTTGTAGAGCTTCTGGATCACAATTGTAATTTGGATCACATCCATCTGTGTCTCCACCAACAATTATGACTCTTCCTATTGACTTTATTCTTTCAGGAAATCTCTAAAGCAATTTTGCAAAATTGGTAGCTGCTCCTAACAAGAGAAGTGTAAACTAAGATTTATATTATTATCTATACAGTTGAATTCTTGCTTCGATATTCAATTTAAATATTAAGTTCCTTGGTTAAATCTTGACTAAATATAGGGATTTGGTGGTCAGGAAATATATTGGCTTGGTACATTCCCTCACCATGTGAATTCACACATGAATGATTATTGTATGGAAGATCTAATCCTTGTATGACTGGAATATGATAAGGCATTTAGATATTCGTAGTTAACTTGAGAGCATTTTCTCCTGCTTTTTCAGCTCTAATTCATTAAATAAATTACGATGTCTTTCCATAAATAGTTGAAATTCCTAATACATTGAAGTTGAAGGCTGCATATAGAATTGCCAATGCCTAAGCATCTCCAGAATCTAGGATGTACATATATGGAATACCTGTATCAATCCACACCTTTTCTAAATTCTTCTATACACAGAGAACACATGGAATCAAGAAAACTAATAACATTATTTTAAATATAATTTATTTTATTAAATTCACATTAAAACTAGTTTGAGATATTAAGTCACAAATAAGCTCATTGTGTTTTGTATATATTATTTATTACTTTAACATTTGTTCCTACATTGTATATATGTATCTTAGTGGGGATGTTATAATAATTACAAAATTGTATGGATAATAAAAAATTATATCAAATGTAACTTAAAAATTTATCATTCTTTTTGTAAGATCCAAAAGCTGAGTAACTTGTATAATAATAATAAAATTATCTTACATTCTTCTTTAAGGAGATTTGGATGTATGAATTCTTTTAGGGGGCTGGAATTGCGAGAATATATCCTCATTTTCAGAGTGTCGAGTTGGAAGTGTGTTCCGACTGCAACTCAATGTCTTTTTTAATTTAGCTCTTAATTATTTGCTTGTTGGATTCCAGGATCTTTAAATGAGAGGGACAGTGTTGGTTGTGGAAGTCACAAAGGTTGGAGAAGTAAAAAAAGGATTAGTAGAAGTGATTTAAAGTACAGTTTCAAGGGATTCAAAACTCTGCATTTGAATAGTCTTTTTATTGATGGCGCTTTAAACTCTGGTAATCAAAATCTAATTTTCTTCTAGATTGGTAGTTTTAACTCTCTACTTCTTTTCAGCCCCGGTCCATACCTTTCTGGATACTCTATCTCTGATTTACTCAATTAGACTTGTGTCGACCATCAAGAATTTGGATTTGGCATCAGTCGGTTTTTTCTTCAAATGATACAACATATTCTAATGAGCAATTTCAGTTTGCAAGAGTATCTTAGGTTTTTATGATCTGATATCATTCTTGTCTGGTCTATCATGGGGATCTTTGAATATCTCTTACACAGTTTTTCTTTCTGTGATCATCAATTGAGGTGGTTCCTTTTGTTAATGTTCGTGTTATGACAATATAGAGATGATGTTATTTTATCTGTTGTTCATATATTCAGAAATTAAAGAACTCTTGTCTTTCAATAATTTCACAATGTCTGGGAAGTTCTTTTTGAGATTGTTGAATTCATTAGCCTCCATGTAATAGGCTGTCGTATTATCCAAGACCTAACATGAATACAATCGACAAGGAAGAGATTCAATTATCTCTTCTTGACCGACAAATGCATTATCTGATAATTGACTCAATATGATCTTCTTCTTCTTTCTACTGGCATGTTAAGTAATCATTTCTTCTGAAATATACCGATATAATTGCACTCTACCCTTCAAAATCAAAAAATAGAATTTGGGTTCATCTCCCTCCTTCCACAATATTGTTTATGCTGAGAATTGAATGGTTCTCAAATTCTAAATAAATTTGGTGACTGTAAATTTGCTAGCTCCATTAAACAATTTCATAAAATAATCCACATTAGCATTCTATTCCTGAATCTGTTTCTCGCAAACCAATCTATAATCATGTTTATTCATTGATATCAAGTGTGCCTCTTCTGATACCACCACTATACTTGCTGATCTTGGTTGATCATGAATTAGTGCTTAATCACCAAAGCATTAACCTGAATAATATTGCCACACTTTCTTGAACATAGGAACTCCATTATTGTAGTACATAGGATTATCTATTAACATTCTTAAGGCTAAATCGTATTTGTTTAGTTAAGTCAATACAACACTCTTCATTTTCTTTAAAGAATTGTTTGCAACATTATTTGCCTCATTATTCTACTAAGTCAAGCAGTCCATCTCATTCTAAATATCATCATTTGATCGTTTCATGTATACTCCTACTTCACCATTTAGTAACAAATAAAATCTATCTCCATAATCTCCTTAATTCATTATTGTTTGGCCAAAATTGTAATGTTCATATTTGAAAAATTAAGCAGCATACATAGCAAAATCTCTAACCTTCATGCTCTTTTCACATTGTTTTTGTATGAAATCTATTGATGACAAAGAATCAGCCACTTATTCTGCTTAAGCTACTGTATGTAATGAAGTATACATTCTATATACTTATACTGCTGGTTATAAATTGATTTCATTCTACTTTCGAACCAAATCATGATCTGGCTGTTATTCTTAGAAGATTGATCTTTTATTTTTCATTTATTTTATTTATAAAATTTTAGACTATATTCAATATACTAGGTCAAACTATGAATATGAACATATCAAATTGAATGCATCGGATGAATAATTTATTAAAGTTCTTTTTTAGTATATATATATTATAATTTAATAGATGAAAATTCATAAAAAAGCTGCCTTCAATGAGATTTTTGTTAAACATGATGCTCACATCAATCGATATATTAAAAGAATCATTTAATTGTTTGAAGAAGGGTAAATATTTAACAAAACTCTAATTAAGCATTCAAACAGTTTTAATACATGGAATGTCTGCGAGTATTGAAAAATGTGTGAGGATTGCTTTATAAATAAATGATCAATATTGTGGGATCACCTATAAGATAAAGACTAGCTCTCAGGATAACAAGTCTGGTATTCACATAGAGTTGACCAAATAATTATTAATATGAATTCCTAAGTTAAGTATTATTAATTTTTTTCATAATAAATTCCAATTAATATCATGTAATAGGCAATAACTTAAGATTAATTCTCCTTTATTAATCATCCCATTTCAGATTATCCTACACAAATCACCATCTTCTAGTAAAGTGCAATGTATACCTCAATATTCATTTTTAGATTTGGATAAGATACTAAGGAACTTTCAACGATTCCAGATATCAATCATACTCCACCAACTCCAAATCAGCATTTATACAATATTCTTGAGTAATTTGGCAGCACATTGGCAAGGTATTTGGCCTTGTAAATGATTGGAGTACAAAGTTACTTAAAATAATCAATGGAATACTTAAATCATAATATTCAGGACTTGAAAATGCTTATATTTAATGCTTAGGTAATGTTCGCTTCGAAAAACAAAATACAAGAATTTGAATTGGCTAGAGAAGAACAATGCAATTAAATCTAGGCATTAATCGATGGAATTGAAGATGACTACTGCAAAGAGGCGCTATCCAATTTATTAGGCAAAATAGAAGAAGTTAGATTTTCAAGTTAATATACTTTAAAAATAACACAAATTGAATTGCTTGAAACCGAAACTATTTATTTTTAAGTTATTGATAAAGATAAAAGCATGAAAACTTTTATTGATTTAATCAAAAAGGACTCTATCATTATTGCCTAACAGCTTTGTCCTCATCTTATTGTACTGAGTGCAGTATTTAAGGACGTACTTAAGTTGGATTTGATTCATTAAACATAATAGAATTTTTATAGTTTGGAAAAATTTGTAAATCATCTACAATAATTATATAAAAACCAGGACATCTCATAATATTTTTAATAAATCTCAAGAATTTACCCTCGACTTAAAGAACACTTTACAGAAATTGAAGAAATTAGAAATAAAAAAAGGAAATAATTTGAATATCAATTAGCTGATGAGGATAAGGATATTTTACAATTGTTTTATGACAAATAAAGCAATTTTGTGCTGTAATTTCCTCAAGATAAAGTACTCCCTGAAGAAATATGTGAATTGATTTAATTGACGTATTTTTTAATTACCCAGGGATAAAAGAATGCTACCTCTTAACTTATAGAGACTTAGATCTAAAAAATATTATAGAATGATTAATTTAAACAGTATTCATTCATTTTTGATTTGATCGCTGATTGTGTTCATTAAAGTTAATTGAAATTGCTGTTTTATGGATACGTAGAGTGCATTCTAGATACTAGATTAATCAAGTTTACGAGTCATCTTCGAACAGATTTAATAATATTAAACTAATTATCTTAGAAACCATAAACAAATTTGACTGAACAACAATTGTAATAATTGAAGGACATGGTTTGTATTACAAGAAGGCAGAATTTGCAATTCCAAGACTTCGCTTAGATTATAAATTCAGCAGGATAAATGGAAACTCTGGTGGCTGCAAAATAAGAGGAAGCTCTTATGGAGGCAACTATTGAATTAGAAAATTAGCTATATGAGAGTCAGGAGATCAATGAGTTGATCATCAATAAAGAATCCGCAGCTTTGTAAATAAGGGCTAAGAGATTGAAATTTCTTATGGAATTGTTTCTTCGATTCTACAGAGTGTCAAGTGAGACTCTCCACAAATTGTTCCTTTATTATGAATAGGGCTATGAGTGCAAATAATAATCCACAATTTTCCTAAGATAGAAGGTGGCAATTCCAAAAGAGTTGTTCAGCACAGTGCAAAATTAAAGGAAGACTCAGAATTGGATTGACATACAGAATCAAATATTAAGTGCAGATGTATTGGGAACAGAGAAAAACTATTATAGACCAAGTGTGTACAGAATATTTAAGGGTTTGACTAGTCAATAAACAATCCCGAGTTCTGCATCTTTACAAAAGATTTTGAAGAGCTTTTAAACCAAGTATTAGAACACATATGCCAACTAAATCCAAAGTGATTTTGTTAACTTATTGAAGGAGATTCTGCAATATTCAAAAGACAAATAAGTTATCTTTGAAACAAATTTTAGAAAGTATTACAAAAAGGAGTTCAAAAACTAATTGATGGAGTTGCCTCAAAATTAATTTGAAAGTGTGGCTTACGCAATTAAGTTGATTTAAGCAATAGAGGATTAATAGTAATAAAATAATTGATAATAAAATAATTATAATAGTATAAATTAAGTGCAATAAACATGAAAGTCATTAGATTTAAATAAAACCTTCTAAAATAAGAAATCAATATTTAGTATAAGGTTCTTTATTAATTACAATTCTTGGTGCTGCTACTCTAGGTTCTACTGGAGGTTTTTTGCCTTATTAAGTTTGTAATTGAGGTCTTTTAGGAACGATGGGTTTTTGAGCAGATTGAGGCCGAATTTATTTCTATTGGACTTTTTGATTTTCTTTTGGAGAATTGATTGGTTAGGGTTTGGGTGCAATGATGGATTAAGCTTTTGCAGGCTGTTAAGGTGGAACTTGTTTTAATTTAGGATCCATTTCTTTATTGGCAATTTCTTCCTTAACTTTTCGGATATCATCCATTTGATCGTTTTCTTATCTTCTTTTTTCAGGTTTGGTCCAATCGTAGATGTAATCCAATTAAAGGTTTTATTTTTGTAACGTTTATTTGAAGAGATTCCTTAAATAATTATAATCTGGTTTCTCTTCAAACTTCAATTTCTTAACATAATTCAAGTACAAAGCCATTTCTTCAGGTAATCCTGAACAGAGTTGCTCAGTGCTTGTTTTAATTTTCTTTTCTTTGATTAGAACGTATTTGTCATTTTTATTGTTGCATACTAGATTCATCCAGGGTAGAGTGCCTTTGGCTAAATAAACAAGAACATAAGCCAAGCCTTCAAGGTCGTCTCTTCGACTTTGTTCATATCCCAAATGAGTATTAATACTTGCATAACGAGCAGTCCCTGTAAGTGGTTTATTTTCTTTAAATGGAATGTGTCCGTCCTTAGTCAAATATCTTTTGGCTAATCCCATATCTACGACGTAGAGTTTAGCCTGCTTCTTACCAATCCCCATAAGGAAGTTATCAGGCTTCACATCACGATGTATGAAGGATCGCGAATGCATTAATTCAAGTCTGGAAACCATTTGTTCAGCAAGCATACACACCTGATTTTATATTGATAATACTGTTTTGATGGATAATTTGCGATGACATTAAGCAAACAAATCTTCAATTGATTTTCCCAAAAGCTCCATTACCAAGTAATTATAATCACCTTCAGTTGCTGCTCCAAAGATCTTGGGGATGCCTGAGAAATTGAATTTAGTAGATTACCTTTGTCTAATTATTGAGAATCCTGGTGAAGGAAAGCATAGACTTTGGCCTCATATAGAATCTGTGGATATTGGCAATTGGTTCTTTCTAATTTTATAGCGTATTCCTCTTTCTGTTTGTTTTAAGCCAAATAAATCTCTCCAAATGCACCCATTCCTAAACGCTGGATGAGCTTGTAATTCTATTGTTATAAGTAAGTATTTGATAAGTTTCGGTTGCCCAATGGATTATCCATTTTTAATTTATTGATTCTAATAATGACATCAATTACTCTAGTTTATTAAATGGATCTCAATTAGTGAATTCTATTTTAATTCCAACGCATATTCATAGTTATTCAAAGTAAATGCATTTTAATACGACCACAAAGATACCACAAGAAGTAGAGTCTTTCCTATTTGAAGAATGAAGGACAAAAATGAGAATCTAAAGAATGTCTTTTAAAGATAAGATATTGAGTAGAGGAGGACAACTTTGAAAAAAAGCAACAACAATTTGAGAGCATTATGAAAACATTAATAAATATATTAATTCATATTACCAATAAAAATAAATAAATTTATTATGGAGTATAGACCACCTATGCAACCCAATAGGGATATCCCTCAATCCATTTCGCAAATTCAATAGGAATAAAGAATGAAGTTCCAATTACAACAGATACAATCCAAAATCATTGAAGAAAGACCCAATTTCCAAGACATGCAAGGTGGACAACCTCCAAATAAACCCTGGTTAGGAGAAGACATCTACATGGTTGTATTTCTACTTACTGTTGAAAATGATCGATTGAGAGAAGAAAATACTCACTTTTAGCAACTACTTAATACTAGCGAGATGAGATACAAGGGAGTTGATTTAGTTGAAAACGAAGTGATATCTCAAAGAGTCAAGATAGGGGAATACGAAAAGAAACTGGCCTTGTTATAAATGGAATGTGAATAGTGGAGAGTTAAATATTAAAATAGGGATAAGGAAAGTGAGGATCAGAGATATCAAAATGAGCTTCAAAGAAGGATTCAAGTAGACAGGGAAATTAGAGAACTTACAGCTAGATTCATTGCAGATAGAAATCAATTAGAATAAGAAAATAGATCATTGAGAATCGAATTAGATTAGATGAAATTATCAAAATATTCTTTCGAGGACAACAAGAAGTAGTGTGAAGCATTGTAAAAAGAAAATTAGAGATTGAAATAAGAACTAGATACTCTAAAGTATGTAAAATACATTATTAATTTATTAGGAAAGGCTTTGATGAACTAGAATATGTATTATAAAGTGCTGGAGATTTAGAGCAAGAGAATCAGCATCTCAAAATTCAAATTGAATAACTTTAGAAATAACAATAATAAATGCTATAATAGTAATAGCAATCCTAAATTCTTTAAAAGCCATAATCTTCAAATAGAATTGAACTATGTAATCAAATCTATTATTATTTATAGCCAATTCTAACTATAATGTTATTCAAGAAAATAGGAGATTAAAGGATGAAATTGATAGGTTAAGAACATTACTCAATCTAGGAACTGGAAGTTATTCTAAACCATTTATGTGAATTTTATAATATAAATATAATAACAATTTTTCTACTTCTTTTATTGAATCAAATTCATATCGATCTACCAAACAAATATAAGGACCAGACATTAAANATTCAAAGTAAATGCATTTTAATACGACCACAAAGATACCACAAGAAGTAGAGTCTTTCCTATTTGAAGAATGAAGGACAAAAATGAGAATCTAAAGAATGTCTTTTAAAGATAAGATATTGAGTAGAGGAGGACAACTTTGAAAAAAAGCAACAACAATTTGAGAGCATTATGAAAACATTAATAAATATATTAATTCATATTACCAATAAAAATAAATAAATTTATTATGGAGTATAGACCACCTATGCAACCCAATAGGGATATCCCTCAATCCATTTCGCAAATTCAATAGGAATAAAGAATGAAGTTCCAATTACAACAGATACAATCCAAAATCATTGAAGAAAGACCCAATTTCCAAGACATGCAAGGTGGACAACCTCCAAATAAACCCTGGTTAGGAGAAGACATCTACATGGTTGTATTTCTACTTACTGTTGAAAATGATCGATTGAGAGAAGAAAATACTCACTTTTAGCAACTACTTAATACTAGCGAGATGAGATACAAGGGAGTTGATTTAGTTGAAAACGAAGTGATATCTCAAAGAGTCAAGATAGGGGAATACGAAAAGAAACTGGCCTTGTTATAAATGGAATGTGAATAGTGGAGAGTTAAATATTAAAATAGGGATAAGGAAAGTGAGGATCAGAGATATCAAAATGAGCTTCAAAGAAGGATTCAAGTAGACAGGGAAATTAGAGAACTTACAGCTAGATTCATTGCAGATAGAAATCAATTAGAATAAGAAAATAGATCATTGAGAATCGAATTAGATTAGATGAAATTATCAAAATATTCTTTCGAGGACAACAAGAAGTAGTGTGAAGCATTGTAAAAAGAAAATTAGAGATTGAAATAAGAACTAGATACTCTAAAGTATGTAAAATACATTATTAATTTATTAGGAAAGGCTTTGATGAACTAGAATATGTATTATAAAGTGCTGGAGATTTAGAGCAAGAGAATCAGCATCTCAAAATTCAAATTGAATAACTTTAGAAATAACAATAATAAATGCTATAATAGTAATAGCAATCCTAAATTCTTTAAAAGCCATAATCTTCAAATAGAATTGAACTATGTAATCAAATCTATTATTATTTATAGCCAATTCTAACTATAATGTTATTCAAGAAAATAGGAGATTAAAGGATGAAATTGATAGGTTAAGAACATTACTCAATCTAGGAACTGGAAGTTATTCTAAACCATTTATGTGAATTTTATAATATAAATATAATAACAATTTTTCTACTTCTTTTATTGAATCAAATTCATATCGATCTACCAAACAAATATAAGGACCAGACATTAAATTATCATTTATCATTATCTAACATTAAATTGATTCTGGTTATTTATTAATTAGAAGTTATAAAGTTATATATAATTAAAGCTATAAGTAATTAATAATGTCAATTATAAGCTGATTGAACTTCATAACAGATAATATCTTTATTATTTAAATTAATTTATTAGAATGTATCCTACTTATTTAGAAGCTAATTTTTAAAATAAAATTGACATTATTATCCCATCAACTATTTTATATTTTCTAAATCCTATATTTGATTATTTTAATTCATTTCTACGATTATTTTAAAACACTCTAACTCTTTTTCGCAAATATAAAATTTAATACTCTCATCTACTGCTTTTAAAGTAAAGACTTTGCTCAATTACTGTTTTGATAAATGAGAGATAAATTAATCATCAAATAAAATCTAATTTTCAACAATAAATTAATATGAACAATGCTCATCTATTTGACATTATCCAATCAAATAATTTTTCAAATCCTTAAACTTCAAGTCTTGAGAAACCAAATAACAATCGAACTTCTTAATGGTTTCTATGTAAATGTACATAGCAACCTTTGAAGTTATTTTCAATTTAATTTCACAATAAGGTTTTATTTAGGTTTCATAAAAAAATAGTTCTCTATCCAATGTTTTTTTTTTTAATAATGTTTCTTAAAAATAGAGTTGAAATTCCTGTTAAAGATTGAAAAATTATTATACTTATTGATATACTTAATCCATTGTTGAGTATATATTGATCTCTATGGATGTTTCAACCTCATATTTGATTAAATAAGTCCCAATTATTTCACAATTAATTACACTATCATTTAATATGGATAAATCAATGAGGGTTTTTTCTTTTGGCAGTTTATTTTGTTTATGAAAGAAATTCAACGAATAGGGTGATAAATTATAAGTTGTTTTTAGTTGCATTTCTAACAAAAATAAATTATCAAAGGTATTATAATCAAGAGTTATTTGTTCTTCTTTGGTTTCGAATATGATTGTAATTTTAATCGAAGCATCTAGAAGTATTGTAATTCTTGAAGATGTATTTATTAGTAAGCTTGATAAATCATAAGTGATATCCTTTTCTTCATTATTGATCTTTAAACTGAATCTAGTTTCTATTGGAATTGGTTTCTATAAAAGTTTCAAGGCTTCATCAATATAAAACTTTATGGGTTTTGCATAGTCGGGATTTTTATCTTCATAAAAATGATTATTAAGTTGTGGAAATATTATTTGAATCATATAAATAATCATTATATAATCCCTCCAAATTAACATTAAATGATTAATTTATTCAACTCATTCCTGAAATACTAGCATTAAGCTGCATATTTATAATAGGATTAAGTGAATCTTTTTTTTAAATTAATATGTAGAGTTCCAAACTTTCCCTTGATAGATGATAATAAAGAATGTTTGTTTCTGCACACGATATTATCTATTCTATCAAATTTAAATGAAAGAAAAGGCATTCTAGAATGAATTAGATACAATTCAGTTATTATTACCAGTAAATAATGATATCTAATATTAAAGTTTTGAGTCTATGGTGTGCATTATTCAAGTTTAAAAGGTGCAGATTTCTAATGCATTTTCATGTCGCAATTCTATAATTTTTGAGTTGTTTCCGAGTCGATTGTTAATAATGCATACCAATTATACGAAGATGTAGTATTCAAGTTAATCAATAAGAATATTATAAATTTGTCGACATTTTTATGTAATATTATTATTAAAGTTTATAGGATGTGTGACTCGGATAGCGATGTTGAGATACTGGATTTTGAACAAGGGCTTTAACTTTAATAGAACACAATTGAAAATTTAGAGAAGGAACTTCAAGTAGAGGATTTAATTATTTAAGATTGTGATCACAAATAGCTCATATTACTAATAATAAATATAAGAGTTATTATCCGAAAAGAATTCACTTAAAATAAGAGTAAAGGAATTAGAGGAATAGAACTTATAGCTAGAAAATAATCTTTAAAAATAAAATTAGACTCATCAGAGAACTATTGAGGAACTAAGCTTTGAGTCATAAAAGAATGAGGAGAAACTCAGAAAACATCTAGAAAGTCTTATGGAATAACAGAAATAAGAGTTCGAACGAATTTTGGAGAAATAGAGTGAACAGATTAATGATTATGTCAAAAAATTGGAGAACTAGGAGGAAGAGAATAATATTATATAGAATAAGTTAATAGCTACTGAATTGTTTAATTGCAAACTATAATCAAGTTTGAGCGAACTGCAAATGGATATTAAAACTAAAGCTGAAACTAGAAAATGTGTTTAATAGTTTAATGAAAAATTAATGGGTGAAAATATTAACAATCTAAATAAAATAGAATCCCTTAGTATGTAAGTTGATGGACTTGAAGAAAAACTCTAAAAATTGACCTAATAACGAGATCATTTTAAGAAATAGTTTGTGGATATCTCATAGAAAATTCTATAGTATCAATAAGAGATATCCTAATCCACCAATAGTATGAATCTCTATTCAATATTATCTAGTAAAGTTGGATTTGAAGAATAAATATGAAATCTGTTCAGAACAAATGAAGAAATTTTAATAATTACTACGGGAGAGCGTCGATGAGAACAAAAAGTTAAAGTAAATCATAGGGCAGTTCCAATCATAAATTGAGGACTCTAAATATAAATCAGATTTATACATCAAAGAAAATTCTACTCTAAAAAATTAATTAAGTATTACAAATATAAATTAGACACCTTACAATAATATTACAAAGAGCAAATTAGTCAATTGTAGCAAGTCTTAGCTAGTAGGGATGCATAGATTCAGCAGTTGAGTGAACCTAATAAATTAACAATTAAAAAATTATAAAAACAAAACTAATCTATATTAACGATATAATAATAAGAATAGGAGAAAAGATAACTAATAGAATAGAAAATAAAATCTTAACAATGATTCAATATATTATTCATTTCAATGCACAAATATCATTATTATCAATGTATTTTGCTATGATTCTGGCCATCTCATTAATATCAGTATAATCTGTTATACTTCTCAAAATTCTCGTTGGTTATTCATGCCACTTTTCTTCTTTAACCTACCCATTTTCAAATGTCCAAACTTTATCTTTCATTTATTCTATGAGTACCTTGCTCTCCTCTACAATTCCCTTCTCTTAAATCTTTTTGACTATTTCAGCTAATTAAGGATTATCCCTAATGCATTTCTTTAAATTCTGATATTACCTCCAATAATTGTAATTCTTTACAACCACTTTCACTTTCTCTTTTAATTTCTCAATTTCTTAAGTCAAATTATTAATAATTTAACCACTATTATCGATTAATCTCACAATCCCTTTTGAATCCACAATCATCATGTCTTATTTATCTAACATTAAACCGTATACTCTTTAAAGGATTACATTGAACTTAAATCTTCCTAATTGTTCCTCCTGAGGAAACCAAGTCTCAATTGTATTATCCAATATTGACCTAGTTAATTCATATTTATCCAAAAAGGCTTAAAATTTGGTAGTCCATGTTGCAAACCTTAGATAACTTAATATTGCTATTTGTATTCCAAGTTGGGGATTATTTTTTTTTAATTTGATTAATTCTTTTAACTTCTCCATATTCTCCTCAATTTCATAATCGAAAAGCCAAACCAATAGAATTTTGTCTGATTTACGATTGATTTCTAGATTTTTGGGATGAGGATCAAATTCTTCATATGGTGGTCTCCATTTCTCTACAAAAGGTATATTCGCATATTTAGTGCCAAGAACTTTGTCTACTTTGGGTATATTTTCAAATAACTTAGCTACCAATTCACTTATTCTATCTTACACTGGATCTTCATTGGGTTCATATCTGATGGCTTCGCTTGCTGCAATCCATAATTTGATTTAGGAGATGTAATCCAAGGTTTAATAATAAGGCACTAAGATTCCATTTTCCCAATGGTGAACCTATATTTGACATGCCTCTTTCGTAATAGATATGATAATATCTTTTTACAAGGCAATTTGAACATTAAGTGAGAATTCTTTAATTTTCTCATTAAGTTTAGCTTTCAACAATTTGGAATCCCATTTAAGATTCTTTTTGCCTAATTGATTAGCAAATTTATCAGCAATTGAGAAGGATTTTGGGGAACTATTGATGTAAATAATTGGTTGATCATAATAAACTTACTTGTCTTCTTTGTAATAGATAGTTTTCTTTCTGATCGTAACTTCAACATCTCTACTGAAAGATTGCTTTTTTTAAGTCATAATAAACTATTTCAGTTTGACATATTCTTATTATTTAATGTAGGAGATGTTGGTAATCACATTAATTAAGTTGGCTTACTTAACTCCATTATCAATCATTTCTAAAACATCATTTTTGACAATTTGATAATCACACTGGAATTGCAATTTATCAACATAGTGCTTGTAAATTACAAATCCATCATAAAGTAATAATCCACTTAACATAGAGTTGTGATTGATTTCATGGGTCTATTCATCATAATATAGATCTAGAATGTTGTCATTTTCAACAATAATGTGATCATAATCTTCCCATCCATTATTCATGATTACCTTTTTATAAGTATCAATGTGTCCTCTCACTAATCCAACTAATTTGACGCCCTTAATTTATATGCAAGATTCAAAGTTCATCATCATTTCCCCTAGATCCCACAATTTCACTAGAGTGTATCCATATTCATTCAATTCAATCGTGGTTCCTCTGACAGTCTTAAATCCAATATTGATTGGGTTTCCTAAACTAACACCGCAGTGGAATTTGAATCCTGCTTCTTCGTTGATTGACTTTATTTTCTCAATATCCATAGGCAAAACTAAACCCAGCGAATCTATTACCTTATTACTAAATTGTATACCTTCTCTTTTTTGATGTCTTCCTTTCTAAACAACCCATCATATTTCAGACTATATGTAGTTACCTTTTATATTGCATAGGATTCAAATTCATGTAACTTTTATTTGAGGTTTTTGACGACTTCACTCTTGATCTCCTTTGAGAATTCCATCTGTGGTAGAATATCCTCATTATTTGAACTACATTATTTGCATTTTCCAATAATTTATTAACCCATTTTATGAAATTAAATAAATATAATTATATCAATAATATTATTTCGAAATAATGTCTATGACATCCTGAATTGATAATATTATGCAATTCTACATCTATGTAAATTTTATAATAATCTTCATTTACCTGAATTTATCTTAATTATTTATTATTATTATTTATTTAATTATTTTTTATTCTTAAATATATTAAAGAATAATAATAACTGTAAATATTAGTTTGCTTTTTAAATTTGAGATTTTGTAGGTCATTATTAATTCCTCCACTTTATCTCATTGTTATAATCATACACCGTAATTTATGATTTATTATTTATCCTCAAGAAATGATATCGCAATAGATACTTATGACAAAAAAGGACTAAATTATAGTTTTCATCAAGTTCCTCTCTACGTTATTCGAAAATGTAGGATTTAAAATTGAAATGATACATATAAAAAGATCCTTTAGATATTTTAGTACATAATTCAGATTTTAGCAAATAACTCAAATTAATTTTTTTACAATAATGATGAAGACTTTAACAATAGGGGATTTAAATCAATTAGTATAACTTTCGGAAGAGGAATTTACTAAAGCAGAAGAAACATCTAGAATGACTAATAGAGGTATTGTATCCTTCTACTCGATGTTTGCAATTGCAATTCATATTGTGTTATGTGTTGAGGTGTTTAACTACGAAAACACAGCTTCTAAGGTTTGCTCCATACTTGCAAGTGCTTTCTTCATGGTACAGCATTGCTACAACGGAAGACTTGGTTGCCTCTTCAACCTGTGCTGCACTTTACCAATCTGTATTGCAGGGTTTGCTATAAGTAATGTGAAGTTAGTAAATACTCTCGCCTTTATTTTCCAACTTTGTATTTGGTTAGGAGAATATTACTATTTGGTAATACAAATAAATACAGATGCCTTGCTTAAACAACGACCAAAGGCACAACAGGGAACCAATGATTAGAATAGTGGAAAATTAGTAATAAAAGTAGATGGGTTACAATTATCAAACACTCAACAATAGGAAATTAAGAAAGAGATTAACGAATTAGCAGGGCTACTTCAAAATGGTTTGCAATAAATCAGCCACTAACAATAGCATCAATAGGAGTTAACTGAAAAATAGTAGAAATAAGAGGAAAACCCAACCTAATAAAATTGATTTATAGAGTAATTATTAAAGATGATAATCCTTATATATAATATCATACTGGATCTAAAAAGATTCATTTTATATCTATATATATTATTTATTATCTAAATTAAAACTGGATTTTATTAATAAAAATAAAATAATAGCAATTTTATTAAATTACTTAATTAATTTTAGCTAAATTATTTATTGTTTTAATTATTCAAAAACATCTAACACCCTAGATATAGATAGGCATCTTTTATAAAGTTTTTTTATGTTCTNTCGAAATAATGTCTATGACATCCTGAATTGATAATATTATGCAATTCTACATCTATGTAAATTTTATAATAATCTTCATTTACCTGAATTTATCTTAATTATTTATTATTATTATTTATTTAATTATTTTTTATTCTTAAATATATTAAAGAATAATAATAACTGTAAATATTAGTTTGCTTTTTAAATTTGAGATTTTGTAGGTCATTATTAATTCCTCCACTTTATCTCATTGTTATAATCATACACCGTAATTTATGATTTATTATTTATCCTCAAGAAATGATATCGCAATAGATACTTATGACAAAAAAGGACTAAATTATAGTTTTCATCAAGTTCCTCTCTACGTTATTCGAAAATGTAGGATTTAAAATTGAAATGATACATATAAAAAGATCCTTTAGATATTTTAGTACATAATTCAGATTTTAGCAAATAACTCAAATTAATTTTTTTACAATAATGATGAAGACTTTAACAATAGGGGATTTAAATCAATTAGTATAACTTTCGGAAGAGGAATTTACTAAAGCAGAAGAAACATCTAGAATGACTAATAGAGGTATTGTATCCTTCTACTCGATGTTTGCAATTGCAATTCATATTGTGTTATGTGTTGAGGTGTTTAACTACGAAAACACAGCTTCTAAGGTTTGCTCCATACTTGCAAGTGCTTTCTTCATGGTACAGCATTGCTACAACGGAAGACTTGGTTGCCTCTTCAACCTGTGCTGCACTTTACCAATCTGTATTGCAGGGTTTGCTATAAGTAATGTGAAGTTAGTAAATACTCTCGCCTTTATTTTCCAACTTTGTATTTGGTTAGGAGAATATTACTATTTGGTAATACAAATAAATACAGATGCCTTGCTTAAACAACGACCAAAGGCACAACAGGGAACCAATGATTAGAATAGTGGAAAATTAGTAATAAAAGTAGATGGGTTACAATTATCAAACACTCAACAATAGGAAATTAAGAAAGAGATTAACGAATTAGCAGGGCTACTTCAAAATGGTTTGCAATAAATCAGCCACTAACAATAGCATCAATAGGAGTTAACTGAAAAATAGTAGAAATAAGAGGAAAACCCAACCTAATAAAATTGATTTATAGAGTAATTATTAAAGATGATAATCCTTATATATAATATCATACTGGATCTAAAAAGATTCATTTTATATCTATATATATTATTTATTATCTAAATTAAAACTGGATTTTATTAATAAAAATAAAATAATAGCAATTTTATTAAATTACTTAATTAATTTTAGCTAAATTATTTATTGTTTTAATTATTCAAAAACATCTAACACCCTAGATATAGATAGGCATCTTTTATAAAGTTTTTTTATGTTCTCTATTAAGTTATTGATTAAGTGAGGGTAACTTAATCAATAGATATAAAGTTGATGTTAACATAGTTTATATGGAGAAGACAAATCTGCAGTCACTTAATATTGATATTTTAAAGTGTAAGATGGTAGTTAATATAATAATAATTGAGAAACAAAATGATTGGTGTTTATTAATGCAAGTTTCTAAAATCAGGATTGAGGGAAGGATGTAAGAGTCTGGAGTAATTTTTGATTTAAAATCGAATTATATAGGTGTAAGTTCGGGTCAAGATTTTTTAAATAATTTATATTTTTTGTATTGATAATATAATTTTTATAACGAAATGAGTGAAGAGATAGAACCTCATATAGCAAGGAAATTCGAGATTATCTAGAAATTAGGGAAGGGTGCATATGGCATAGTGTGGAAAGCAGTGGATAAAAAGTTGAAATAGGTATAGGTGTTTAGTTATTGTAGGTCGTTGCGCTAAAAAAAGTTTTCGACGCTTTTCATAATGCGACGGATGCTTAAAGAACATTTAGAGAAGTGATGTTTTTGTAGGAATTGAATGGTCACGAAAATATTGTGAGATTGCTTAACATCATAAAAGCAGAGAATAATAAGGATCTTTACCTGGTATTTGATTACATGGAAACTGATCTTCATGCAGTGATTGTAATGATATAATAATAATAATTACAAGCGAGCAAATATATTAGAGGAGATTCACAAGAAATATATAGTTTACTAAACTCTGAAGGCATTAAAGTTCATCCATTCAGGAGAATTAATCCACAGAGATTTGAAACCATCTAATATTTTATTGGATTCTGAATGTTTGATAAAGGTGGCCGATTTTGGATTAGCCAGGAGCTTAGCTCAAACAGAAGATGATAGTACAAGATTAGATTTAATATATTTGTAGGTTAAATAGTGTTAACTGAATACGTAGCAACAAGATGGTATAGAGCGCCTGAAATCCTCTTGGGATCTACTAAATACTCCAAAGCAGTTGATATGTGGTCAGTAGGGTGCATCATCGGTGAATTGATTGTTGGCAAAGCCATTTTCCCAGGAACGTCAACACTCAATCAAATCGAGAGGATTATAGAACTCTTGGGAAAACCAAGAGGCGATGAGATTGATTCTCTTGAAAGTCCCTTGGCTGCTAACATTTTGGCCTCCATAAATACATCTAAGAAAAAAGCATTCTAGTCCTTTTTCCAAGGAGCCTCAGAAGAAGCCTTAGACTTAATTAGAAGACTGTTGTGTTACAATCCCAATTAAAGATTGACAGCAGAACAGGCCTTGAAACATAAGTATGTCAGAGACTTCTCTTCTCCTGACGAAGAGATCGTATGCTAGCATCCCATCAGGATTACGATGAATGACAACAAGAAGTTCACTATCAAAGAGTATAGAGAAGCATTGTATGCAGATATTAGTTAACGAAAGAAGGAACAACGAAAGAAATGGCAAGCTAAGTATTTAGCCTAGTTGGGAGTATCTCTGGATGACAAACAAAATCAAGTTCAGTAGGCTCCAGAGAAGGAAGAGACTCTGTAAGAGCAAAAGCTTTCTCAACCAGATCTCATCCAATAATAAATCTATTAGCAATAGTTGTTGTTGCAATAACAACGAAAAGCTTAGAGACCATAATCTGGCTAAATGGGAGGTCGATAATCCTCAGTGGAAATGCCCAAACAGTCTTAGGCCTAACAATAAGCTGTTGCTCCACAACAACAGACTCATCATAAGAGTAGTTCCATGATTCAATCTATGCAAACCAAGCAAGGATATTACTATCCTTTCATCTAACAATAGATGGCTTCCCAACCAAATAAGGTCAACAAATCTGCTGTCCAAACTTAACAGTAACAACCCTAATAAAGGCCATCAACCAGCTATTACTAAAAACCTCTGACTTAAGTCACAACTTCGTCAGTTAAGAAATGACACGTTTAAATTATTTCACATTATATATCACACATAACTCAATTTATTAAGTTCCTTTTGAAATTAATCTCTCACACTTATCGGTGTTTACTTAGAATCACTTAACTCCTTAAAGTACTCCATTGGCTGTAATATTGTATCATCATTAAGCATCGAAAACAAAGTGGAAGTCACTCTCCACCTTTTGTTTTACTTAATTGACTCTCGCTTAGCTTCTTCTGTCAAAAAAGCCTCGTGATATCCTGCCTTGTAGACTCCTCCTGTCATTAATTCAAACAACTTTCCAGGCTATAACAAAACAGTTTATTCAGGAATTCTCAATTCCTCTCTTTTCCCATTTGGCAACCATACGAACAAGCCAGGGAATCGTGATTTTGTATGAACTGTGATAAAGTTCAAATCTTAATCATTTAGATGTAATACCATAATGATATCCTGAAAATCTTGTGTTAATAGAGTGTTTCTACAAATCACAACCTATTGGTGACAATAAGTGAGTGGCCTTGTTCATGTTATTGTAAAAAAAGTCCTTCTTTTCGTTGAATGCCAATGACAATATTTCTAATACAGATTCTGTGGTTCTTAATAATTAGGTTTACCATAAGTTCATAATTCTTTCAAAATTCTGGAAATCTTTAGGAACCCATTAAGGAGGATCGTATTATCCATCATATCGATAAGGCCAAAAGTATTTCCACTTGGGATCTCTATCAATTAGGATTGGCTTATCTATCATTGATTTCAAAGATTCCTTGTCATAATTCGGTTTTCCAATATTTTCATATCCCATTCCAATTTAATATTTATACTGAGGAAAACAATCGTCAACTTTTCCTGTCTATTCCAATTGTATTGCTCTTTTTTAAAAATACTCCTCCATCAAATCAAAATATTCCTCATTTGCTTTCCAATCAATTCTTTTGTCCTTCACCAATAGATACCCATAATTCTTAAGTTGTGCATGTATCTCTTCATTTGAAACGCGATTGCTTAAATCAAATATGGAACTAAATCGATATTTCGAGATATTGCGCATTATTTAAAATAAAATTTAAGTCTGATAATGTTATTTTATTACTAAGCAATAAGCAAATAATAATATTGTCTATTAAATGTTAAAAATGATTGTAATCTTACACTATTTGATCAATCATTTATCATTTCCGACTCCTTCTATCCTAAAATAAGAAAAACCTAATCCAAATTCAATTGAATTTAACTCAACAGATTTGATGCAATCAATGATTTTAATACACACATAAGCATTTTTAGTAAACATATAGATTACATTGATATTTTATGATTCATCTGTTATCATAATGTTTTAAAATTAAATAATACATTTCGATTAATTTCAAGAATAAATCATGATTTGGAATTTCTACATGATGTTATTGTTTGAGCTGGTATTTTAGTTTAAGGTTATGGACTCCATTTGAAATAATTGAATAAATAAATCTTATATTTTTATCAAATACAGAATTATTAATACTAAGAAATAATTAATAATGAGTGCTTCAAATGTTTATCATGTTGACTAAAACGTAATATTTGTGCTGAAAGATAGTTCATCAAATGATAAATAGAAACAATAAAGTATTCAATTTACCAATTATAGTCCGCAAAATCAACAAGGAAAAGTTAAAAATAATCTTGCAAATTAGCGGATGCAAAGCAGCTCATTCATATTCTCTTTGTGAGAAAATATTTGAAATGATATTCAGTAAATTGTTGGGTACAAAAACACTCAATACTTTTAGAAAATTTTGATAAACAAAAGAACCATCAACCATTAAATGGATAATCTAATAAACAAGTTAACTCAGCCACAATAACTGAAAAACACTTCAAAGAAATAGTATTCAACTCTGTATTCGAGAAAAAGTACATTCGAGAAAAAGAAGACCTCTATAAAGAAGATTTTTAAATTGCATGGAGTTTGACAGAAAAAAAGTAGCCACTCATAATCCTATTTGGTGGTACATCAGGTACTGGTAAAAGTACAGCCAGCAGCATTTTAGCTTCAAGATTTGGAATATCTACAGTCCTAAGGTAGTTTTCTAATAGATTTCTAGCACCGATTCTATAAGACATATAATGAGAAATTTCTTATCAAAAGAGGAAAACCCTGTTTTATTTGCAAGTACTTATGAGGCTGGTAAGACATTGCCCGATCTGAATATCAGTGATTAAAGGAGGATTATAAAAGGATATAAGGCTTAATGTGAATTAGTTTAATAGAGATTAGAACATGTAATTAATACCTTTGATGAAAAAATGGATTCTATCATCATTGAAGGAGTACATCTGACACCTATTTTTATGATGAAGATTATGAAAAAATACAAGAGAGTGTTGCCATTTGCTATTTGCATTAAGAAAGAATCGAAACATAAGGAGAGATTTGCAGTGAGATCAAAATATATGACTCTGGATTCAAGACATAATAAATATGTTGAGAATTTTCAGAATATTAGATTGATTCAAAAATGGTTCTTAGAAAAAGCTGATGAATTCCTTATTCCAAAAGTAGACAATGTCAATATTGATAAAAGTATAGACACCATACATAGAACTATTATCCAATACATGAAACATCTATCAGATGATCAATCTGTTACTGAACTTAAAAATGCATTCCCCATCTATGAAGAATTTAACAAGGTAATAAGCGATGCATGGAGTTCAAAGGAAGTAAAGGATTATATCCATAGTCAAGTAAATAAAACTGAGATCTATGAACAATTCTTACAAAAGATGAATGAACAATAGGCAGACACTAACACAACTATCATTTAAGAATCAGACAAAGTCAATCCAAAGGTCTTGATTTAATAATCAGTTCAGAAATTCAATGAAATCAGTTTCAAAAATGAAAATAGAGATAATCAAAATAATTTAACCAATACAACTGAAGTTAATTATATAGTGGATGATCAAGATGAGAAAAAGGATAATCTCAATCATATAAGTGATCAGGAGGATCAAAATGAAGAGAGAAGAAGAAGAAATTAAGATAATAATGCAAATCCAACTTTTAAAAAAACTAAGTCCTTGAAAACATTGATCACTTAAATTGAGAGTGAATAACAAATTCAAGAACCCATAAAAGAGTAGAATAGCAAAAAGAATCTGAAAGTGGCATTTTAAGAACCTGAATTTGAAAAGGAGGAGTAGGAGTAAACAGAATAAAAACCTCATAGGACTGATTATAAAGGCATTTTGTATCATCTGACTAAACATAAGAGAATCTTCCTAAGTAAAAAAACCAAACCATCCAATCTAGTATTTATCAAGAAAATGATTTCTAATTACAATAAAAGTTATCAAAGTCATGACAGAATCAAATTAATTCAAAATAATGATGGTAGTTACTGCTTATTTAAAATGAATGTATAAAAGTTCATTAAGAAGTCTGATTCAAGAGAAGAGTCTTCAAGTGAACCTGATGACAAGTATTAAATCATTATAATCTAGTGAATAATCTGTTGTTTAATAGGGAAAGTCACTCATGACTCCCTCTAACTTTCCATTCAGTGAAAGAAGAGATCAATCAGATGGTGATTCCGTAAGATTCAGAAATGATGTGAATAGTGATGAAGAGGAAATCGAAAACGAGAACGAAAATGAAAATTCTGTTGAAGGTAATTTGAATTAATCTATTTAATATTAGCATCGAGTTCTGATGAAGAGGAGGGGAATCTAGAAAAAGTGAAATTGAAAATGAATGACGATGAGGAAGATTACATTGAACTATAAAAGATTATTGAGGAAGATGAACAAATCAATGAGTAAGATGAAATCATGGAAACTCCATTATAAGTTTAATTACTTGATTAATAAGATTATTCGGATTAATCTCCTTGATTTTATACAAATTTTACTTAAATCATCATTTAAATATTTATTTAATTGTTACACAAATTTGAAGAATCATTTTGATATTGAATTGGTTGATAATAACATAGGTCATATCCTATTCTTTCTATTAAATTAACTAACTTCTCAAATTCAACAATTATAAATCTAATGTTATATTTTACTAGATTTAGACTAATTTTATTTAATCTATAATATAAAACCATAAAATGTTGATTAAATCTTTTGATTACAAAATTTAAAGATTTTCTAGAAGAGTAAACAGTTTAAAATGAAAAATTAATTTCTTAATTCTCATTAATAATATTAAATCAGATGATTCCAACAATTATACATTTAGTGCAATTGATTGTGCATACATACTTTATGTATGTCAATTTTGACTCAAAATCAATCGAAGAATTCTGGAACTAAATAAAGTACTTGACAAATATCAGCAATTTGTGCATGTACTCCTTCCTCATCCCACAGGTTGTGGAAGACTTCAAATTCATCCGTAGAAGAGGATGGCTTATCAACATCCCAAGACATCACACTTTCACTCACTATGCATACTAGTGCATGAATCCAATTATATTTATAGTTATGACTATGTTTTGGACTATGTTTCTGATTGACCCCAAGCTGATCTTCGCTAATAGAGATGTTAGTTAAATTGATATGGTCCTTATGTTTTATGTTCACGGAGGAAACTGGATTTTAATGTAAAACATTTGACTATTTTTAGGTAACTCAACCAATTCGAAAAATAGCCTCATTTAAAGATGAGAATCAAAGGACTTATCTACTTTGTCTACGTTGTACTCTACTTTGGAATTTATGGTATATATATATAATTTATCAAAATAGGCCTCCATTATTTGATATATGAGTAGCATGTCTATGGCTTTCAAGCTTTACTTTCCAAGTTCGAACTTGTCTCCATGTACGCAATATTATTTGCCACTCTGTTTGGTTTAGATGTTGTTTACAATAAAGTGCTATTCAAACCACGCCAGAACTTTGTGTAAATCAAAAATCATTGACGTTGATTGACTAATTATAATATATCTTATAATATGTAATAATCGTTAATAAATAATAATATTTTCTTTAATTATATATTCAAATTTCAAGAAAATATAATAATATAATTATAATTATTAGAATAATAATTATAATCAATTATAATTAAAGATTTATCATATATAAAATCAAAAATGCAAATCACTATCATATGATCCAAAAAATTATTGGTTGGGAAATATTCATCTAAATTATGATAACTTAATCCATCAATATCAATATCGCAATTCTTATCCCAATTAGCTTACATATATAGCCGGTATATATTAGAATATCTACTTAAACGTTGTATTAGTAAAACATTGGAGTTTCCTTCCAAAATTGGAACATATTCCAAACTAGCCCTTAAAACTATTTATTGTTCATGAATTTACTGATCATATGCTGACTAATAAAATGTTAGATTTCATCTAAATCCACATTTAATTTCTAATTTTAAGCCGGATCCTAAATGAAATCTACAAATTGTAATAGAGTTAATTTTACAACTACTGTATAATTGTAACTAAATCTGCCTATTGTGATGCAACTCTCCTTTTTTTTGATCTCTTCTGCATACAATTTCTCTGCTCAGTCTCTATCAGGATGCTAATATTATATATTTAAACTTACTCTAAAAACACTGTAGTAATGCTTTGTTTTTACTCTTAAGTATGACTAATTTTTTTCTGTTTTTCTTCTCAAATTATGGCTTTCTTATCCTTTAAAGTATTATTTGTACAATATAATCTAAATGGCCATATTTATCTAGGTAAGACGTAATACGCTTCTTCATTAATATAGTTAATTGTGATGCAAGCTTTGGATCTTTATAATGGTTATCCTCTAGGTGATCTTATTGAACTGGATTAAATAGGATTAAATCAGATGCAAAAGTCAATTATCCTTAGACATTTTATATATTATTACAAAGTATTACATCAATTAGTTATAATTATGAACTACATAGTATCTGATTGAATTAGCCTCATAGTTCCATAAAGATTCTAATTTTTCCTTTGATTCTTGGATGTGAATAAATGGAAACATATTCTCATCCTTGCTGGGTATTTTATGATTTAAGCATGAAATATTAAATCATTTGCCAAAAAATTGATTCTCCTAATGTAGTCTTCGAAAACATTAAATTGGTTAGCCATTCCATATAAAGAATCATCAACTTCCGCTTCATAATCAATAAAACCTTCTTAAATTACTACTCTACTTAGTGTAATTGTTGACCATGCTATTTTATTCAATAATTTTCATTGCATCAGCATTAATGATTTAAAATCAAAAGATATACGATTATCTACTTAAGTGTATATTGATCAAACTATGCAAATTGAAAAATTTGAGAAACTTGTTTCTTGCAGAAATCTAATGAAACTAACTTAATCTAAAAACTGGTTATAAATTTAATTGAATTATTTATAAACCCATAATTTGAAAATTAATTATTTAATATTTATAGAGAAAAGTATTGCTTATAAAATTTAATCCATCACTGGGTTCAATCAAATTGAGACAAAACCTATCCAAGTTTAAACCTATATAATAGGTTGCGGGCGAGGCTCCTATTCCGGAAGCTAAGCTCGTTCTTAAATTAAACAAACGAAATTTATATATTATTATTATCTGTCTTCAATGATAACTTGAATGAAACAAATCATTTCTGCACTTAATTAGGTAATATTATATATATCTATATTTTATAGAATATCATATATTTATTAGAACAATATTAACAAATTATTAAAAAAAAATGATCTATCTAAGAAACGAACCAAACCTCTCTCAAGTTTAATGCAAGGTATTGTAATCAGCATACATGATATAATTTGTGTATTTGCATTATTATATATTAATTTTATTGGTGATTGTTTCAAATAATTATTGAATTCTGAGGCCTACTTAAAATTTTATTCTATTTCATAATATCTGTATTTATATCAACTGCTAATTTTAATTACTTTATTTTTTTCACTTAAACAAAAACTTCAAAAGTAGTTCTCTGATTTAACTTTATTTGTTTCTATATTTCATTAATGTTCATATTAGCTGATTCATTTTGAATAAACTTATTAAAGCATGGTGAATCATAAATTTAAGCAATTGAGAATATGGATCTGTTGTTTCTTCGACCATTATAATTTATATCAAAATTTCGATTTCTGATGATATTATGCATAAAACTATGAAACTACAATTGATTAAGAAAAATCATTATAAATTTCAGATGCAATATTTTCTTAAGGATTCTAAATTTTTAAAATGAAACCTCTAATAAAATAAACAATCTATTTCAAATAAGATTAGATAAAATTTATGTAATCAAGATCAACAGATTCCATCTCACTTGAATTGCAATTAATTCTTTACTATTCTTAATATAACCTCCTCTTTTTCTATTCAAAATATTTCTCTGACCATTCAAATTGGACATCTATAATTTCTTCAGATGCTTGATCCTCCATTAATTAAAGAATCATGTATTTGAAATTCATAATCATCATAGATTATAAATCTCATAAATTCTTCTTTTTAACAGAAATAAGGCTTCATGATTTAAGCGTAAATAATGATCGAAAATTATGATAACTCTTCAAAAAAGTAATATGTCCTAGCTTTTGAATTCACAATCAGCATCAAAAGCTAAAAGTATTCTTCCAATTTTCTTATTAATAAGATCCTAAAGATTCTAAAGTTGATTCTCTTTAATAAAAATCATAATTAATAACATAAATACAAATAATAATACTAACAATAATATTTCATTCTACTATTCTATATATTATTTTTGAGGACTAAAAAGTTAAAAACTGTCTCTTATATAACTTATATAATCTCTAAAACCAAAAAAGTTAAAAGTAGAATTAACAGAAGCAGGGATACAATATTAAAACTAAATGAAATTAGTTTAATAATTCTGTAAATGAAGAAAGCAAATATAATCTACTAATTTAACATATATCTTTATTCTTGCTTTCAATTGCTTTATTTCTAAATTTAGTAATAATTTTAAACAATTAAAATTTTATAAATTTAAAAATTAACTTAATATTTAGTCATCAACAAAATGAGTCCAAATTAAACTTAAACCTTCTTGTTACGATGGAGTTAATTCTTTCCTTCTCCATTTCTTCATTCGGTTCTTTAGTTCTTGTAGTTTATACTTGGAGTGAATGCAACTTTGGTTATGGTGTTTCTAAAATTTCAATTTACTCTATGACATTTTATTCTTCTTTCACATTTGGATTTTCAATTGATTTCTTTTCTTGAATGGAGAAATTTTCAAATAATTTTTCAATCTCTCTCCAAGCTTCATTTATATCAATCTTGTTTCTATTTTAAAAGAACTATTTTTTTGGTGACTTTCCCGTAGTTTCTAGCTCATCCCTCATTAGTGTATTATTTTTTGAAACTGCTTCTCTGATTAAATTTTCTACTTCTTCTTCAAATTCTTAGTTACTTTTCATTATTTTATTTATTGCTCTATAAATTTTTATTGACAAATTATTGAGCAGATAATTATTTATTTATATAATTTTTGATTAAATATTTAAATCATCAAAAATTCTAATCAATCAATCAAAGCAAAAAAATAAGTATATATAGAGGGAGTATTAAGAATACAGTTGTTAATACAATTAGTATTTTATTTTATAATTTCAACCATTATAAATTTTCTAAAATATTGAGTCTGATTCTTCAAATTAACATGAATTTTATATAATTCAAAGTTAGGATTTTAGAATGTTTGTTAAAGAATTTACTTATCCGGTCTTATCAGATTTAATTGGAATTATCGAAATTGTAAATTTAATTGAGGAAAATAACTTGGAATTTTGGAATTCCAATTATTAATAAACAAATTAGATTTATGAAAGCGGCAACAGTTGTACCTACAACAGAAATCAGTCAAACTAATCGAGTAACAGTCAGTTTTCAAAACCTTACTTATTAAGTGTCTGTAAAGAATCCTAAAGGAGTGTCAGAATAAAGAACAATCCTAAACAAGATATCAGGAATTTGTCATCCAGGTGAAGTAACAGCCATTTTGGGAGCATCTGGAGCAGGGAAAACCTCGCTACTGAATATCTTAGCAAAAAGAATCTCCTTGTCAAGGAATGTTTAATTGCTGGGTGAAATATCGGCAAATGGATAACCTTATGACAGTGATTAATTTGCATAGTTTTCATCCTACGTGATGCAAAACGATGTTCTATTCGGAACTTTAACTGTAAGGGAAACGTTCGAGTTTGTAGCCAATTTGAAGTATGCAGACCCACAGTAGAAAGTTGATAAAGTAGAATATGCAATTAAGACATTAAAATTAGAGAGATGTTAAAATACATTAGTAAAATTGAAATAATATTTAAAGATTGGAAATGCTCTTATAAAAGGTATCTCAGGCGGAGAGAGGAAAAGAACATCAATCGGAGTAGAATTGGTCAGTGATCCGTACTGTATCATGTTAGACGAACCAACGTCTGGATTGGATTCGTTTACAGCCTTTGTTATAATGTAGATATTTTATAATATGTGAATAGTAATCTGCTCAAAAAACTAGCCCAGAGCTCAGGTAGAACAATAATTTTTACTATTCATTAACCAAGTGCGGACATTTACACTTTATTCGATTAAGTGATGCTTCTAGTGCAAGGGAAATTTATTTATCAGGGAAGGAGAGATTAAATGGTTGATTATTTTAAAGGCATTGGATTTGAGTGTCCCGCTCATTCTAATCCTCTAGATTATTTGATGAGTGTGATGCATCATGAAGATCCTAATCATCCTCATTATTAAACATTGTTCACTCACTACAATAATTAATTTGAAAATCAGATTTTAAGTCAGATCTAGGCAGTTAAGAAAGAAGCAATACAAAGATAGACAATCTAAACTACTTTTGCATTTCAAGTTAAGGAAATTTTTAGAAGAGGAATGATAAATATGAAAAGAGATAAAGTGTTGGTTAGAGGTAGAGTAGTTATGACCATCTTTATTGGATTATTAATTGGAGGGATATTTTGGACTGCCGGCAGTGAGCCTGGATATAAAGGAATTTAGAGTACAATAGGAGTGCTGTTCTTTTTGGTTATGAGCAGTTTTATGGGAGCATTGAACCCAGTTATTATTTAATTCCCAGATGAGAGAGAAGTTTTCTTAAGAGAAGAGAATTCTAAGCTATATACTACTGCTGCTTACTTTACAGGTAAAAGTTCTGTTGAAATTCCTTTTCTGATATTATTTCCAATTATTCAATAATTAATCTGTTATTGGATGGTAGACTTGAATGATAAATCAGGTGATATTGTAATAATTAATATTATTATTTGTATTCTCCTTGGTTTGAGTGGAAATAGTTTTGGTAATTCTTCAATATTATTATTTCTAGGATTAATGGCAGGATGTATGTTTACTGATGTGAAAGCTGCTTCAGGTTTTCTCCCTGTTGTTTTAATGCCCTTGGTCATTTTCTCTGGATTTTATGCTAATCAATCTTTATATATGAATTGGATTGGTTGGGTTTAGTACATAAGTCCAATGAAATATGCATTTGAAGCACTAGTTTGGAATGAATTTGATTCAAGAAGTGATGAGTTTCTTGGTACAACTATTTAGAATAGTAGTCCTATAGATACATATGACTTAACTCTAGGTCTATGGAAATGTTTAGTAATTTTAGTAGCTATAATTCTGTTTTTCAGAATGATGGCTATGATGTTTTTATATTTATTGAGATAGAAACAACAATGATAATTGTATTATATTCATTAGTTTAATATATTGATTAAAAATAAAAATCTATTGTTCTATCAATTATTAATTATAATATTAAGCAGCATGTCATTATTGAAATGCCTGAATATCTTGAAAGTTTTAACTCTACTTAACTAATTTAAATTGAAAAAGAAATCTAATTGGATTAAACATAACGTCAGACAAATAAAAAAAATATTAGTTTATCACTCAAATTGGAAATTAATATAATTGCAGCATATTTATAGAATTCATAATTTATAAAAAACAATGAGTTATAATACTTCTATATTAAAAAGATAAGAATTTTTTATTATTATAAAATAATCATGTTAACAATACAATATAATCATTTCAGTAGACCTTTTTTGTTGATTAAGACACGTATTTTACCCTATGGCAATGATTAGCAAGATCTAATGAGAACTGAACTTGGGTTGGTAATTGAAAAATATTAACCATCTATTTAGAAATATGTTCTTAGTAGTTCATTCTATTTGAAATTCAATTTGAGTGGGCCTTTACTTTAACTCAACCTTGTAGCTTAACCAGGGATCAGTCTTTCTGAGCCTAATCCTAATATGGAGTTGAATGAGAGAATTTCTAACAATCCATCAGAAACAGAAGGAATATTCGAATATGATTTAACTTAATTTTATTAAGCGTTGAGCCATATGTTTTTCAGTCCTCCAGCATAAGAGTTGATATTCAAACACAATAAATTGACTGGATTTCCTGGAACCACAATTTCATCCTTTGATTTCTATATCAACCCACTCTCTAAAAGATCATCATCATTCAAATTGTGAATGTTCTCAATAGATTGATTAACTTTTGGAGTTTTCAAAAACATCTTTTTAAATCCTTCCCAACAATAAACACATTTGTTACAACACTAATTGGATGTCCTATTCTTATCAAATCCAAATCCAATGCGTGCATCAACTCCAATGCTAAAATAGTTAATCATCTATTTGTAGTATCTCTAATTATTTAACTACAATTTGATTTCTCCTACACCATTTTCATTTCTTTTGATCTCACTTATGTATCCACCCTTATCATAAAATCATTTCTACATACTTGTTATAGTCTAATATCCACATCCCAAACATCGAAATATGACTCTACTCCCTCCATCCACTCCTCAACAAACCCTTTCAACACTATGCTGTCCATACCAATCACATCATTTGGTACTGTAGTGCCCCATCCCAAAGTATTTGCAAAGTCATTTCCAGTTCCAAAAGGGAATGGAATTATAATACAGCTATGAATATTCACTTAATGCTGCAATAATAATTCCACTATCCACATTATAGATCCATCTCCTCCAGCCATCACAACATGGATGTTTTCTTATTTTTATTTCATTATCTGCTACAATCCTACTTCTCTTGATTTACTATCACAAATATTGAAGAACTTCACCCGACAATGACTATCCTTGATATTGAAACTTAGTTCTTTTTACTATCATATACTTGAATTTACATCAAGTTACAAGAATTATTAGCCTCTGTTTCCACCACTACCTGAATTATAAAAGAGGTAATAAGTGTATTCCATAATTAAATATATTTATATTCATAATCCCCTTTAAGCAACAATTATTAATTGACATTCTAAAATTATAGTTTTAACTAATTAAGACTTCAATAACAATAAAATAATTTTATATCAGCCACGCTTAATAAGAAGGAAACAATGCAAAGTATCAAAGAAATGAATAACTTGAAATTTATGAAACTTAAATTAAAATTGAGAGAACGGAGTTTTAACCATCACTAATTTTTTTGGATACCGCTTTTCAAATTATCCTCTTACTTTTATAATTTATTATAAACTCAAACAAAGCAAATTGCTTTTAGAGTTTATGTTTCATCTTTTATTCAAGAACATTAATTTTCTTATGAATCTTGTATTGTATCTAACCAATTTGAAAATGTGATAATTTCAGTTATTCTTTTTTGTCTTTCCATCTTCTAACTGAGATCTCAAAAATTTATCTATAACTCTTTTCAATTTAGATGGTTTTTATTTTTGGCATGGCAGATATTTATCATATTAACTTGATTGTTAACTCATAACCGTAATCTATCATTCACTTTAATACAGAGAATCCGAAAGAGAAAGAAGGGATAATTTTTGTATTTAATTTTTAAATTATAATATTTATTAGAAAAAGCTTAGACTAAATAATTGAATCAATTTTAAACTTAGTACCAACTAATTAGATCTGGCTACATAATTAGAATATCTAATATAGAAACAAGTTGATTATTAATCATTTTTGGCAATTTCAGTTCACATTTATGATCAAAATGTAGTTTTATAATATTCCTGCATTTATTTTGGCAAACTATTTTAAATATTATGAGCAATTTTAAAGAGAGGGAGTTTGACAGTGAGGACAGTAGTATAATATTTTATAAAATTCCCTAGACATTTATGATGTAGAATTTGTTTATGGCAAGAAAATGCTCAAGTAGAAAACCTTTTATGCCGTTAAATGGCTGGGATGGACAATATAGCAAATGTCATGGGAACCTGTTTCTAATTTTACACCTATTTCAAGTTATCTAGTAAGGTAACTATAGTTCATTTATCTTTGTAAGACGCTTAGAAACTAGACTTTGCTATTCTTTATACTATTAAAAGGTTGCTCCAAATACAAGAGGCATACGAGTCCACATCAAAGGGAAATTGTGTTAAGTCCAATAGGTTGATACCAATCTCAAAAAAAAGTCAATTGGGTGCTAAAAATAGATTGTACCTTGCTCTTAAGATACCTCAGGTCCTTTTGATAAAGCATAGAAGATTATTACATAGATGAAATAAAATTTTTTGACCTCCAATAATAGTAAGATACATTAAAAAATCTAAAAAAATGTATGCAAATAAAAAAAGCATTTTAGAAAAATTTTAAATTAATAAGAAAATAATGAAATAATCTCAATAACAAGTCTATCCCCAATAAGAGATGAAATACTAAAGCAAAAGAAGAAACCAATGAAGTAAAATAAGAAGGAATTAATTGATTATGAATTAGAAAAAGATATTAAATTACTCATAAAAAATGAAAAATAAGAAAAATAATTGAAAAATATAGTATCACAAACTTTAGGGCAGAAATAAATTCCAAGTTAAAAGAATAATTTAAAAAACCATAGAGATTAGTAAGCATTATAATTATAATAATAATAATAATAATAAT